AGCTTCGCCGCGCGCGCGTCAATCAAGTGATTCAAGTGGAGATAGCGCCTTTTGATTTAATTCGGAATCCGGGTTAGCGCATTAAATCAAATGGACCTACGTGCAAAAATCCCCTATATCTCGCTTAATATGCATTTTTTCCTAATTTTGGCAACGTACGTAATTAGAGGAACTCTTCAGCTTTCAAACAAGCTAAAGTAAACCAAAATCGGTCCATTAGTACGAAAACGCCAATTGTTTTAGTCAAACTTGCTTTACTGAGAAGTTTGGAAATGGCGTTTAGCGCCTTTTCGCATAAATACGTCCAATTGTGACGCGATCTCTCTCTAGCCTGCCTATCTTGCGACTCTAGCCTGATCGCGCATTATTTGAGTTTTAATGAAAATGTATCATAAAAATTTGAGACAAAAAAAGAAAACAATTTGTTAGTACAGAGCACTACTCTGCCGCCTGCTATCACCTGACATCATTCATTTCTCAATTTTTGGCTAGTTCTATCTATTATTCCTCTGTCATTGAGGAGTCAAAACTACTCGGGATTGTTGCTCTTCACCAAATCACTTTCGATGAGACCACTTTCTGTAGGAGTTAAATTGGACGTATTTCTGCCAAACGGAACTAAGTGCATTAAGACAAGAGCCCTGAAGCCCATAAGAATATATGCATAACAGAGCTCTTGTCATAAGCACATAGTTCCGTTTGGTAGAAATACGTCCAGTTCTTGTCGACTCTCAGGGATTGCTAGGATTTTTAAACCTGATGTAAATAAATTGTAAATGTGATTCTTTCATTTAATGATACGTGCAAGCTCTATTTGATGTTTATATTTTCTATTCCAGTTTCTGTGTGATGATTCTATAAAAAAATTTGAAATTAAATACAGGTTTATAGAACTTCTCAAGCTGCGTTTGTTCCCTTTCTCTTTTCTCGAAAACAAGCAAATCGAGGGTGAAAGTACCAGAGGATGTATCTCAGTTTGCGATGATGTAGGCTTCCTGTCTTACTTTAATTTTTAAATGAAAAACTGCTCAAAGTCAACTCTCAAAAACTTCCCTGATTTTTCTTCTCTGTGCGAAGCAAACTCTGTGAAAATTTCAAAAAATTATATCGATTTGTTCTCCTTCAAAAAAATAAATTAGAAGTAGAAATTTTTGAACGCCGCAAACAAAATACGTGGTCTGGTAGTGGTCATCGTCGAGATGCATTCATACAAAAAATAAAGATAATCGGCCGCCTTGTGATGTCAGTAGGCGGCAATTCCCTTTGAACACATGTATTTTTTTACTTTAGCAGATTGGGTCATTTGGTCATATTTCCTCTGATAATTGCTTATTTCAGAAACCAAGAATATTCTCATGTATATTTCATTTCACAGTCTCTTCTTAAACATGAAATTCACAAAATTTGTGACAGCTGCAAATTCTCCGTAGGTTCAGTAATGTGATGGTTAAAATGGGTGCTCAACAAGAATTTTAGAAACTTCACTATTAAAGTGATTAAAAATTCAAACGTTGTTGCTCCAGATGCTGGTAGATCTCTTGAGATTTCTTCATTTTATCTTTTGGTATTTCTATGTATATTTAGTTTAAAACTTGATAAAAAAACTGAAATAATAAAAAACAGTTTATTACTAAAATGATTGGGTTGTATAAAATTACATAAAATTAAAGTTCAATTGAAACAAGCATTATCAGTTAGAATGACTTATGTTACTTAATTTTGGGAAAGCATCTACTTTACTTAAAACCAACTTTTGATGAGCAAGTGAGATGTATCCTTTTATTTTTCCACTATGGATCATGTTGGCGACTAAACAGTGGACGTCATCCATTTCGACTGGCTCATTGTCAACAATTTGCGCAGCTGCTAGAAGAACTTGCATGGGTACTACATGATTTTTTACTTGAAGATACCTGAAATTCAGAAGTACAAGAAATGAAGGATAGCATATGCAAATCAATACTTAAGCTTAATATTTCCATTGTAAATCTGTTGAGCCAAGTTGGATGAATTTCGAACCGTTTGACTAGATCACCAAATTATTGTATGGCAATTGTACAGCACTGCATGGTGCTTTGTAGATCTTCAAAGGTTTCCATAAATTTGCTTTGGTCACATTACTGACTTAGCAGTTCATCTGGCCACAGATCAGTACACTTTCAACTAATCATTGGGGCCAAAAGGGAATCTTGAAAATTTCAGGATGAGCCCTGATATTTTGATGAAGTGGGAAACATATCAGAGATCTTTGCTCAACCGATCAGCAACGAAAATATGCTCCGTTTAGAGTAAAATGGAGTTTGTTCAAAAATAAGCTCTGCCCAAGAGGATAAAAAAAAAACTATGTTTCCAAGTTTGTTTTTCAGGGAAAAATTTCAAAAAATACTTTTTCAGTTTCATGAAAAATGGTTCTCTTTTACCTTCAGTGCTTTAAATACTACAGCAGGGTCTCAGGTGGTATGGGATACCTAGCTAAAAAAATTTAGTGCATACACGGCAACCTGGAAAAGTCAGAAAATCTTGATCTAGATCTAGATACATGGTCATTGAGTTTAGCCATCAAACTTTTGACAGTTGAACACCTCCAAATTAGGGCACTACAATAGCAAAGTAAAAACAGCAGCGATCGCCTTTCCTTGGGAAATCACATTTATGGATGAGGAGTCATATTAGAATTACTTACGCTCTCTTAAAAAGATTTCTGTAGGCAATTAATTTCAATTTTTCAAGGATCAAGTAGATTCCACTCTTGATAAAAAATGACTGATGCTTCTCCATGGCCCTATTTAGATTATTTAAACGTCCGCACTTGACTGCCTCTGCTACCTCCCATAGTGAGGTCAAATCATACTTTTCTAGGACAGCTTTTGTTGGCATGTAGCCCTGGAACATAATTAGAAAATGATAAGTACACCTAAAACAATTGCTTGATTTAGAATAACACGCAGAGCAGTAAAGCATGAGACTTTAAAAATGTCAGCAAAGGAAATACAGTGGTCCCACCTACTTTAAGGGATGAATGAATAGCCACACATTATTTTACCATAAAACACTAGATAGGGGGCATGTCTTCAAAGAAGTAGACTCCTTGGAGAAGAATGAGGATACAAGTAGATACAAATAAGAGCTGTCACACTAGCATGCTATTACCACTACAGAAATGGCTAGAGCGGCAGTGGCGTTTCTGCAGAGTGTCCATGAATTCGTAATTTTCCGATTCCGTTCCTTTCCTGCATGCTAAAATTTCCGAATTCTCTAACTAAATAAAAAAAATGAAGCTCTATTAATATGCCTACAACGAAGTAATTACCCACAGTCAACATGACTCATGATATGAATTACTTTCCACAAAAGTTTCGAAAAAAACTATCTCATGGATTTTTTTTTAGGCTTTTGCTAAACTTAGGACAAAATGTCTTTTTACAGAGATTTAAAGTATGGAAAAAGATGATCAGAGGTAGCTCCTCCTCTCTTGAAAGGCACCCTTGAAATTTGCTGAGTTGATGTGCTACTTGTGAAACTCCGTGGATTTTCTTATGTATTCCCTAACTTTCCCAGGTCATTGTAAATTCCTCCACTTTACAAAATTGCCAAGGCCGCAGCAAACCTTGTGATGCATTTTTTTAAAAAAATAGAGAAAAATGGCACTTTGTATCGGAAATACAGTGTAATTTGGGAAAATTTTTCAAAAAGCAGACCAATTGCATCAGGTACAAAGCAAAGTACACGACACATAAAAGCATATTGCTAATCATAATTGACCAACCAACAAAGTGGATTAAAAAATGTAAGCTCCTCAACAGCATCTTATACTGTTACCAATATTCTACGGCGTGGATACATTATAAGCCCTGGTGTAGCTTGAGTGATGAAAAAAAGTAAGAGAGGTCAAAAATTCTTAAAAGGACAAAACAAGAACCAAAAAAAGAACTTACCAATAACAATTTCACAGGAACCAAGTAAATCAGAATCAATCTTTTGTTCTTCCTCATTGATTTATGACACTTTTCAAACGCATAAGTTAAATACTCATTGGCTGAAAACAGAAAAGGAATCAATGAGAAAATGAGAATGACATTGACTGAGTCCCAACTATTATAGATTACGATAAAACAAAACAATTAACTTTAAAAAGTTTAATTGCTACTTCCTTCAATTTTCTTAGCCTACACGTTTGTTAGGGATGGAAGATTATTTAGGCGGGTCTGACGGTTGAATATTGAATGATGTTATAAATCAAACTCTAGGGCGCACAAATGACACTATCTAGAGGGCTACAAGTAACCTGTTAGGTGCAAACTAGGTTTAATTAATGGCAGCGCAGTTGTTTGACAAGGGAAAATAAACAACTCGACAGCATAAGTCCGCAATCATATATCTCGTTCGCGGTGTCTGAAAATCTCCACACCTGTATGTTATTTTTTTAAAGAAAAACAAATTGACATCATTCCTTGAAGTTTATGCAGAATTATCTTCGCACAGAGAAGAAAAAACACGGCAGTTTTAAAGAATTGCAGTTGAGTAGTTTTCTGTTTAAAAAATAAAGTATGACAGGAAGTCTGCGACATCGCAAACCAAGTTATATGATTGCCACCTTACATGACACGAGTTTTAGATAGTTTAAAATAAGTAATGAGACTCCACATGGTACAATTAAAATTCCAAGGCCCAACAGGTAAAAGCATTTTCTGTTGGCTTAAAACATTGAGCACCTACCTAGGGCATATTCGCTGTCGAAAGTTGCTTTTCTTCCGACAAAATATTTGTACGTTATTTGCTGCGCTTTCGAGAACTTCTCTTTGAATGGAGAAGAATCAATGGCTCGAATGAGTGGCTTCATTAGATTCAATTTATTCAACTTGAAGTAAACTTTGAAAAGCTGGTTAACGAAAGACATCATGCCCCATTTTTTCGTCTCCCGCTCACCTGCTCGGCTGTGAAAAAGAGAATTTTCAATTAAATAAAAAAGATATTATCAAATTATAAGTTTAAAGAGATGTATACTTTTTCTTATTAAAGATTAAAAATAAATTTATATTTTTAGAAAAAGCTGGATACTTACAATTTTTCCAAGTTCTGAAAACTGGGGAAATGAGTTCGTTTTAAAAATTTCATGAGATGAAAAGTTTGAAAAATTTTAAATTGTGGCAAAAGCCATCCACTGTGTTTTCTCATAAATTAGTAAGTCTTAAAGAGTTAGGTAGTTGCCAGCATTGAATAATTTTTTTTTTTTTTTTTTTTTTTTTCAGTAATGAACTACTCACCTGTCAACTGGACAAGCTGTTTCTACAAGGGAAGACGCCCTTTGTAAGGCTACATAACAGCAGTAGCCGACAGCAAAACAACAAAAATACATATCTCAGTTTGCAATGCTACAAACTTCCTGTCATGATTCATTACTTGTGCCAAAGAATACTCACCGCTCACCGTTAATTTTTGAAATCTTTCTTACTCTGCATGAAAGATATTCTTTAAAAATTAAAGCGATGAAGTTGGTTTAACCTGCTTTCAAAAATAAAACAGGAGCAGAGATTTGGACCGTGTTTAAGGAACAAAGCCACATCAGCTATTGCCAAATTTAACTGGGTAATTTAATTTTTTACAAGAGAACATTTGTTCAGATTTCTTGAAAAATTTTAAGGAATTTGTTTCGTACTATGCAGAAAATTCACTGAAATTTGCACAAAAATCCAGACGACCGTTTTCTTGTAAAAAATTTAATTGCCCAGTTAAATTTGACAATAGTTGATGTGGCTTGGTTCCTTTCTGTTGAACGCGATTCATTTTGAAACAACAAGATGCGCGTTTTTGTAATTTCATCATCAAGGGGTCTTGAAGATGGACAAGGTCCCTTTTAGAAACTCGAGCAACTATCTTAAACATTTATCTTAACCTTCACTCTTTTATTTATGTTAAAACTTTTAGGATACGAAATCCATGTACTTTGCTACTGAGGTCAGTTTAGTTTCTCAATTTGAACTTCTTTTTAGAAACAGGCTTAGCCACATACTTGTCAGCGGTGCAAATTCTAAAACAGTTCATAAGAGCCTCTGCTGCTTTCTCCAAAGCCTCTCGGGGTTTTGTTACGGTTGATGAGTCTCCAGAAGTGACTGTACCGACTTTCAGGGCCAGGCATCGCAGATCCAAACAAACTGTGATCATGACCGGCAGAAGCCAATTCTCATCTTTGATTGCTTGGAACAGTTTTATCCACTGTTGAACTAGAGGACTTTGATAGCTGTATGCCTCATTATAATCCTTTCTTGAAACGGCTGTTACACATCTGGAAAAAAGAGATATGATAAGCTTCAGTTTTTATGAAAAAGGCCTACAGAGAAAATTTGAGCACAGCCATACCGAGAGATGTCAATTTTTTACGAGGCATCAATTCTTGGACTTGATTTTACTTCTTTCAGAGGAAATAACAATTTCAGACTCAGAATCATACTTGTGAAAATATATATTCCTAAATTGAGTCAAATTGAAAAACATGTCATATATTTTACTGCCTGCTCAGCAGGCCGATTATGAACGATCGATTTCTGACAGAAATTATGATCGATTTGGGGATGCTATCGATTTAGAAAAGCATTGCGCTTATGGGCCGGTCAAATCGATAGGACACAAATCGATGCAAAAATGCAGAAATACGGCCCTAAATCGATCAGAATCCCGGAATCGATGGAAATCCAAATCGATGGGTCCGGACCCATCGATTTGGATTTCCATCGATTTCGTGAAAAACAGAGTTTTCCATCGATTTGGGTCACGCTTCACGGGATAGTTTTAAAGATGGCGAATCTCGTGCTAGTCATTGAGAACTACGAAGATGTTGTAAATGAAGAGATAGAGGAGCGAATACGAATTGAGGAGAGAAGAATATTGAGGATATTACCGTGATAAAATTTAAAATTCATAATTAAATTGCCGTGATGAAATTTAAAAATTTCTAAAATGGAGCATACAAAATATGTAAAATTGTGAATGAAGTTAAATAAGTTAAGAAATAATTTTAAAACAACATATACTTCCATCTAACGATAAAATGTCTATGAGCCCCATAAGAACAGAGAAGATTTCTCCATGACAGCAGTTTGAACTTTGGCCTGCTCACGATCCAATAAAGAATTTTAAATTCTGATTTCAACTACTTACACTTAAGAATTAATTAATTTGCCACTTATTTTTTCGCAAGACTATGAAGGAAGTTTGCACAAATATTATAGGGGAAAGAAGAACCCGAAGAGTATAATATGAGAAGGATTTTAGCTTCATTGAGGCTGGCTCTACTGAAACAATGGGCTGTTGAGTAGAAAGCAACACGGTGATTTTTTATGATTTGCTTTTAAGAGGGGAAAAATATGATGGGAAATGTTCTTGATTTCAACCGCCTCAACTCTAACATGTAAAAATACATACCCAGCAAGACTGCGGTATCTAGGGAAATGAATCTGAGAGAATAAGAACTTTACACAAAGAAACAGGAAAAGGCGCATGAAAATTTGTAACTGAAACACCGACTTAGATATTTTAATTGGGATGAAAGTGCAGGTATACAAAGAAAAATTTGCATGCAGCATAAAACTGAATGAAAGAGTAAAGATTATTTTGACACCACTATTAAGATTTAAAATATGAGATCTCTTGAAGACAAAATTGTTAAACCTAGCAAACAGTGCTGAAATGAGATGTATCATTTGAAAATTGAGTTCACTGTGCATGGATGGTTATGGAGATGTCCACGGTTCAAAATAAAAATTGTATGAAACGTATAAAACTAAAGCTAGATAGGTACTTACAGAAAATTGTGTTGCTCTTTGCGACATTCTAGTAGATTCAAGTGATGAAAAGGGAGTTGATGAAACTTGGTGGAATTAATGGCTGTTTACAATCAAGTTATAGTCTCCGCAAATCCTTAAAATGTACGATAGAACAAGCGGAAGCCATAATTCTGAGTGACACAGCTATTTAGAATTGGTGAAGTCCATGGTGACTTGTTGCTCTGGCTAGCAAGTGTTTTAAAACATTTTGAGTTGAACACATAACTGAGAACAACTGATGATAAACTGACCGCTTGCTGCTGTGAGATTGGACTAGTTGAGCTTGTTAAAAGCTGATTATCCTGGACTTTAGTAACTATCAGGACTCTCAGAGCCCCCTCATGATTGCACAATTATTATTGCTTGATAAATCAATCCATAAATGGGCAGCATATCAAGATAAATAAACCTCTGGTTAGGCATGCAGTCATGTAGATATTTCTCTATAAGGCTCTCCTATGGGTTCATTGTCAATCATCACTCGGGCCCATCATGGAAACTCTTAGGGACAAAGATGAAATTCAATGACGATTCATTTAATCAGTAAGGAATGGTAAAACTTTCTTCTCAAATAGTTTATGGTATTTTAATACTACATGTGTTTTTGCACTGTTGGACCAATACACTAGTACTGGTTAGCTACGCTAACCTAATCGCAACCAATGATCCGATGAATTACAGTTGTGATGTTATGCGCAACCAGAGGATTTTGGAAGTGAATTCCTTAAATGGAGAAGTGATATTATAAAATCTTTGACACATGGTACCTGAGGATGTGAGATATAATTACTAATGAAATCACAGATGATAAATGATTTGGAAGCTACCCGAAGAAGGTTATCATAAGCGGCGATGTCTATGATGATCACTCAGTATCTGGCACGAACTAGTTTTCGAAAATTAGAGCACGCACTTGCGAGGGATTACACTACAAATTACGGATGAAATATTAATGACTAAATGTGAAAAAGGACCTCGTGTATCACCATTGAATAGCTTTGATCGGTATTCAGAGAGCGAACCAACATCACGTAGATCCGTCACACACACCACTTTGCGGTTTGCTAACCATTTCTCCAAATGATAGAAGTGATCCAAATTGACTGCCTTATAATGGAAGTATTGTAATGATCTAATTAGTTCGATAATATCTTCAAAAAGTAAAATAACTGACAAGAAAACACTCATTCACCAAGAGACTTAGAGAGAATGCAGAGATAAGCAGTACATAAACAAACCTTTCCGAATCAACCGTTCATCGCGCGCGCTTTCAAATATTTTGAATATTACCGCGAATATTTAATTTGACGGACTACAAATCATCATTTGTACACTTTTCATTGTAATTCTTTCTTAATTTTCTTGATTCTTTTCTTATTTATTGGATCTGTTGTCCAAAAAACGGCGCTTCCACTTGGAAGCCATTTTTTTTTTTGGAAATCGATCGGAAATCGATCGAAAATCGATAGGCCTTAAAATCTGTCAGAAACTCCTAAAATCGATCAGAATTCGATCGTTCATAATCGGCTTGCAGGACGAATGTAATTTTTAAATTAAAAAATGTTTGAAATTTGAAAACAAATGATAATCTTCATGGAAAATCATGGTTTCTTTCTGAATTCTTAGATTTGAAATCTGAGTCAAATCGAAGTTCAAAATAATTTTCTCATCATAATAATTAAAAGGAGAAAAGAGATACAGTAATTACTTACTTCAGATGTAATAGAGTAATTTCACCAAGATGGTGGTCGATAGTTTGAAGAACCTCTTCGGAATCCACATTCAGTAAGTTTGAGTTTTTGGTATGTGAGTGTCGGAGAGAAAAAGAGTCCTAAAATAGAGAAAAAATAAATGAACAATTGAACTCTAAGTAAGAATGCAGAAAATATTGGGTAAAACTTTTTTTTTTCGTAGGTAGAGAAATTAACAAAATTTGTTGTTTGAGTTACCTTTTGCAGAGACACTACACCACAGAGAAAATTTTCAATATCAAAGAAAATGTGGTGTTATGAGTTATTATTGAGAAAATTACCTCAATTTTTTTGCTTTTTTCGGCTTTCAAAGTCATCCACCAAGATAGCGACACCTTTTGTTTCTTCCACCTCACTTTCATCAGTCAGTGATACACATAGTTCTAATGGTTACTCAACATGAAACTTGCGTGAAAGCAAGGTGGAAGAAACCAAGGGTGTCACTACTGCGGAGGATGACATCATACACCAAATTTTTCAAAGTGCGATATCTTGGTAAATATTTCTGAAACATAGAAAGTTGCTGTCTCAAGCTCGACGGACCATACTGGTTTAAGCTGATCTATAAAAATCAAGCATCTAAATTTCTGTGACCGACCCATTGGTGTGAAGTCTTCACAATACTTGTCATTCTTCTTCCTATTCATAGTGTTATGCTAATCATTTAGGAAAAAGACAGAATATACTTACAGACATTTTGATACCATCTTTGGTTTTCATTGCAATGCTGACCTGGAATGAAAAAAATCCAAAAATTATGATCTAGCTTGAAGAAGAAAAAAATCATAAGCGCCTTGTGCATTATTAGCCAGAAAAGATTCAGACAAAATTTCATTACAGTTTCAACTATGTAAGAGTTGATAGTCGCTAATTGGGGCCTTCATCAAATGATCATCGGGTGGTACAGAGAATGAGGGATAGTAGGATCCAGAATTGTGGTTCGATCAGGTATAATCAAGAGAATCCTAAATTTCTAAACTTGGAGACGACGCAGACAACAATTGAAGAGTCTTCCTGCTTACATGCATGAATCTGTCATTTAGTAAAAATAAAAAATTACTTCTCAGGTACTTTTCAGATACTTTTTTGACGTTCAAAAGTCTGAAAGCAACAGAGAAAACTATGAAATAGGGAGTATTATCTGAACGTACCTGCTTTAAGTACTGATATAGAGACTGCATTTTCGATTTTTAAAATTGACACAAACAAATATTAATTCATGCACATTATCAATTTATGTTATAGACGCAAAATAAAACCAGCATTGATTAATGGGGACATAATTAAATAAGCAAACGTAAGAAATGACAGGTGTGAGCCAAAATTGTAAACAAAATTTTTGTAAACAGATTCTAGCCTAACCTCACTTTTCCCGGCTTTCCCGGCTGGTTTCTTCAAGTGTGCCCGGTTACACCGCGCTGAATCTATCAGACCTCTATCAGACCAGCCCATGAACAATGTGCCAGGGCATGCCTCCCACCAGGCAAGTCTCTGGACCCGAACGACTAGTACATTCAACCACCGCTGCAGCGCTGCGCATCCGCATGCGCCGAGCGCAACTTTAAAGTCCGATATATAAAAAACCAAACCACGGATCTCGATGAAACTTATGGAATACACTAATCATTACCTNCGCGGTCCCGGTTACCAATGAAAATTTCCTCAGAGGATAATTATTTTTTTAAGTTTCAATCGCATGGTCTTTGAACCTGTTTAAGGTGAATTTTTAATCACATTTGGATTAAATTTTAATTTTGTTTAATTTTCTTACTGAGCTGATTCGTTCATCCATTATTTTTTCTCCTTCAGAATTTCTGAGAAGCCAAGCCACCCACACACAACATTTTGAACCATTTTGATCTGCTCTTGACGACAACCTGTATCGGCCATTTCTGTTTTCCCGTGTGTGCAACTGTGTAGTGTGTGAAAATGGGTGAGTAATTTTCTCAAATTTATCCTCTCAAATCGACCTAATCACTCTGTAATATTATAAATTAAATACGTGTATTTCCTTCTTATAGATTATTCTACACTATTTATAATCTTGCGCCCTTAAAATGTACATCTGATAGCCGGATCCGGGCGTGATCCTACAGGCCCCTCTGTCGTGTCAACCCGCTGTTTTAGCCAGCACTCTTAATTTATTGCATCCATTACCTACCTAAAAAAACTATTCCGCCTTCCAAGTACCAATCTCTCTTAACTGACCATCAGAGGAAATGAGCTCGTCCCCAACTTCTCGAAGCGCGACTCAATTAGAGTCTGTCGAGACTCAAATGTGCAAGTTCTAACCTATAATGGTTGAGCTTAGGTCTGGCAGTCAAGTAGCAGAATTCCAACAGTATACTAAAGTCAGACTAAACCAGTTGTTCTCCCAGTGATCATCTGGAGAGAACTTTCCTTTCACCCTGGGCCGTTTAATCAATGTAAAAATCTCGTAAAAATCTCGATCGCTAGTGACATTTTCCTCTGTTCTCTTGTAAAAAATCGCTTGAAAGAGCGATTTTATGTATGTGTGAGTGCGCTCCCATAAGATCTGATGTAACCGCTTATCGTATTAGTGTGTATTTTACAGGGGTTTTTCGAGACTACCGATAGTCGCTGTTCGATACGTCGATTCAATTCTAGACATACCAACCCTTTCCTCCAAAATAATTTGTGCCATTCGGTGTTGTTAAATTCCTTTTTTTTAACTCTGTTTCCAAGAAATCTGTATTAATTATCTAAAGTTCTTCATATGGTAATGTTTTCATTTTCAATTTGAATTTCCTAAATTTTTCCTCTTTTTCCTTGTTAAACAAAATCCATTTTTGTATTTTTGTCTTCTTTTGGTCAGTGCTATTTTTATTTTTTGTTGGCGCCCTGAGTTTTTTATTCAGAGCATCCATGTTTGTGTTTTAGTGAGTTTTGATTCTTACGCCTTTCTCTTTCTTCTAATTATTTTATTAGTTTTCATCCTTTAATTTACTACTCCATTTTCTGAATTGATTCAACATGTTCGTTGGAGGTATGCTATGATAAAAATGCCTATGCCATGGACCCGCTACAGACTTGGTAGTCACGTCTCTGGCAAAAATGGTACCCGCCTGACGTCACTAAAGTTCATAATGGACACAACATCGAACTGGGACATTTATTAAATAAACAACTGTAGTGGTAACAAAGAAATATTTACATAAGTAATCATTCATTTTTTCAAAGCGTTATAATTTAAATAAATAATTTTAAATATGTAATCAGAAACTATACAATTTACTGGGAGAACATCCAATGCCCAGCATGAGCATTGGAAACGTCATTCATGAAGTGATGATGACCCACTTGTTTTAGGGTTCCAATACTTGCCGTTGGATCGGCTGTCGGCATCTTGCACGAAACAAGTGGGTAATGTGATTGTTTGATTTTGGTATTGTATTGTGACTGTGCATGGTAGCGTACAGCAAGTCCTAGCGCAAGTGAATAATCTCATGAAGCACATACTGTGATGACATTACCTCCAAGTTCTATTGTTTGAGTGTAATGCTCCACCTCTCTACAGATTGTGTACCAGTTCATGCTGCTCTTGATCGAAGGAATGTTACATATCTAGGTGTATCTGCTTAATACTTACTGTCATTGTTACAGGAATCTCACGTGACAGTTGGCATAAGAGGAGGCGCACCGGAGGTAAAAGGAAGCCTCTGAGGAAGAAGAGGAAGTTTGAACTTGGTCGCCCAGTCTCTAACACAAAGGTACTTTAGTATGGATTTTTCTTGTAATGTAACAGCACTTTCACGCAGAGCTAAGTATATAGAACCTTGTTCAAACAAGAAGTAATTGTTATGCCGAATTTGCTCATCTTATGTGCAGACTAATAATATTCTTTCATCAACTTTGAATCAGTACCACTTACCAGCTTGACAATGCTCCCAGGTAGTACCATTGATAAGTGGTAATATAACCTTCACTACTCGATCCCAGTCTTAACATATGATGAGCTAGCCCTATCTCTGGCAACCATACTTACTATCTTTATTCCATAGTATCCTTAAAGTTCTGAAATTAATAATGAATACCTCATAACCGTGTACATGCCAGACTTAGTTAAGAAATTAAGTTCTATGTATCAGAATTTTGCAAATGCTGAATTTTCTCAAGCCGAATCTTAGTCAAAAGAAGATTCATGATTTGAATTTGCCACTCAGTCCAGACTGTCAACCCCCTCTGGTCTAGTGTGTGCCCTACATCAAGGAGGTTCTGGGCTCAGTTCCCAGCCTAAAGACTGGTGAATGGCAGTCATACTCTCTAACAGTAGTCACTTGGGGCTAGTTGGAATGCGTTTGGGTAGATCGCAGAAGGCATATCGACGGTGAAACTACCAAACCACGTATCTCGTTTGCGGTGTTTAAAAATCTACGCTCACATTTTATTTTTTTGAAGTAGACCAAATCAATATCATTCCTTGAAATTTTCACGGAATTTTCTCCGCAGAAAGAGGAAAAATCACAGAAATTTTCAAGACTGGATGTTAAGTAGTTTTTCATTTAAAAAATAAAGTATGACAGGAAGTCTGCGACGTGGCAAACGGAGATACGTGGTTTGGTAGTTTCACCGTCGATATATGATATTTTTGTGGAATGAGTCTTTAGCAAAAGGAATTAAATTACTAGGAGGGTAGTAGAGTACTTAAACATCATCCTCTACCTGATCTATTGTGAAAAATCTCAGACGTCATCTTCTGGGATGGATTCTGTAATCGCTATAGTCTCTTAAGTTTTATTAATGTATACAGTGCTGGTCAGCCATGAAATTTCCAGTCAATGATCTAGTTCAATCTCAGAAAAGCGGGCCTCCTGTGGTGTAGTGATTGTAACTCTGCCCCAAGATCAAGAGATCCCAGGTTTAATTCCTGGCCAGGTGACCTGAGTTTGACAGTCTCGAGCAATGGTCACCTCATCCTAGGGTCAAAAGAATTAGATTAGCCCTGTGGGCTACTTTAAAATTGGTCCATGTATTGTGTCACTGCTTCTCTCAACTTCAGTGATGAATTTAGATATTATTTTATTTTATCAAGAGTTCATTTTCTTTTCTTTTGTGTTTCAGCTTGGCAAACGTAGAGTCCATACGTTACGTACTCGAGGTGGAAACAGAAAGTTTAGAGCTTTAAGATTAGACAAAGGAAACTTCTCTTGGGGTTCTGAAGGTAGTGTTCCTAATTTATTCATTTTTATTAGCATTAGAGCTTGACTCATCCTCTGTTGAGATCAAAGAAAAGTCTAATATATGTCACCACTCATCAATGGTACCACCTAGATACATGCATTGAGCTATTGAGTGGTGCCGATATCAATGGTTAATCAAATAATAATTTTGGTTTAAACATGAGCTCAGCGGCTAAGCTCTTCCTGATTTTATTTCACCGCCCTCGATATTTTTATTTAGTCCATACATTTATCTCAAACAGATAATCAAACCTACCAGTGCCAAAACTACTTAAAGAAGAGAGTATCCTGGTTTGTTACATTGCTAACTCCTCGTCATTTATTTTCTGAATAGAAAAAATATTCTATGTCATTTTTGAAGACTCAAATGATTTTTTCTCGTGGTGTGAAGATTATTCCATGAAAATTTCCCACCATGGTGTTGGTTTGTTTTCCTTCATTATAATTGGATGGGAGTGGAGATTTTGAAATGCTGCAAACGAGACATGCGTTTTTGCAGTTTCACAGTCCTAATGACTCTACATGATTTTGGTTATCAACCACCATTGATTGAATGCAGTTCATTCGGGAACAGTCAAAGTCCCTCAGTCATGCTGGAATTGCAGTCTGTTGTGGCTCTGTGTATCAAATCATCTGAACAAGATTTTTCTTATGAATTATTATCGGAGCCCAAAATAATCGTTTGGACACCGCCGACTTTAATTCCTAAGTGTTGGAGTTTGAAGTGCGATTGTGTCCTACAAGAATCAAAGAGAGTACCTATTGTGTCAAAACAGCAATATTTTCACACGGTTGCCACTGTCAAAGAAAACCAGGAAATGTCAGGGAATTTTAAGTAGTCAATGATAATAGAGGCAAAGCTGAGAAAATTACTAAAGGGGCAAAAAAAAAAAAGCTCTATATTAGCTGTATTTGCTTTCTAGAATGTTTTTTTGATGCTTTTAACAACAAATGTTGCACGTCAAGGTTTTGCGGCAAGGATTTTTAACCACCTCACATATTGTCAAATGTCAGGGAATTTTACTAATAATACTAGTTTGGGAATCGTCAATTCATTTCATTCCAAAATTCTGTGACAACGCTGTCTAAAGTGCCCAGTGTCGCCATGTTTACTTGTGAACCTATAAGTATCTTTCCAAAATAAACAGGTGCTTTTTTTTAAGTTTTGATTGCACCAATTGTTAATAGGCTCCCTCAATATCATGAACTATAAGATTCTCCGTATAAAATGTTCAGATTATTAAGAAAAACATTGTTTCTTTTCAGGTTGCACACGCAAAACCCGAATCGTCGATGTAGTTTATAATGCCAGCAGCAACGAGTTGGTCCGTACAAAAACTCTGGTTAAGAATTCCATCATCCAAATTGACGGTACCCCATTCAGACAGTGGTATGAAGCACATTACGCTTTACCTCTAGGCAGGAGGAAGACTGGAAAATCAGTAAGTTTCCATTCGATTATTGTTTCGAATACTCAGCCTGTCAAAAGTCCTATTAGTAATGCAAATGAAAAAGTTGCAATTTTGCCTGCTGTATGATTCAAGGTAAACAAATCCTCAGGAATGATGGAAATAAAATCAATCCATGAACTGCACGTAAGTTTTTTTTGAGCAATTGGGCATCAATTTGACAATTTTCAACAGGCACTCCAGCTCAAAACAGAGAAGGAAAGGATGGAGTCAGTGGTCCGATATGAAACTGACAAACTGTTATAAAAGAACAAACTGACGGAAGAAGAACGTTCCTTTTTGTTTGCATCCGTCAAATGAACATCATCCTAGTGTTTTTGACTTATGTGGCTCACTCCTCAGACACTGTTTTTCATGATCAGCACAGCTTTGAAATCTGAGTATCATTTGCAAAGGTTAAGCCCACCCATTCCACTTTACCATTCCCTACCTTTCAGTTCTTGGTGTGTCTTAAACTAGGAAAGTAGGCAAAGTTTATTTAATAAATGCTTGTCACCCTAGTTCATGTCAAATAATCAATTATTTGTCAAGTTCGTAGTAAACCACACTTTATCAGTATCTCAACTTTTCATTTAATATCTATCCATGCAACGCTGAAGTAGCAAGACCATTTCACCTAATAGGAGATAGAATAATGACAACTTAGCCGCAATGTTGAGGGAAAGGACAAACCCTTTGCCATAGAATGTAATGAAAGCCATCAATTGATAATTTCTTATAAGTCAGTTCCTTTCTAGTCCGTCCAATCCTAATGATGCGATACATTTATCACAATCTCAACAGATCGATGATAGTACTTTTAATTTTACAACTTAGTCGTAACAAGTACTGCATTTTCACCAAGACAGTGGAATTTGTTGAGTATTTATCAGTGGCGTGGCGTGAATTGCGATATATCGATTGTTATGCCATTTAAACCTATGGAAAAGGATCGATTAACAGGGTGTTCGCAGCGAACACCTTAATAATCGATTCTTCATCATAAGTTTAAATGGCATAACGACCGATACATCGCAATTCACGCCACGCCACTGGTATTTATTACAGCCATTCAAACTATAACAGAAATGTTTCCGTTTCTCAGGGAGAAGTCGCCCAAGGTATTTTGAATAAGAAGCGGTCTCCGAAAGTTGCGGCTAAGTACGCCGAAAGACAGACCCGAGCAAAACTCGAACATGCCCTTGAAGAACAGTTCCAGACTTCACGACTCCTTGGTATGTATAAAATGCTATTTATCTAATCAGTTGTCTATCCTTTTATGCATCGAAGCTTAAAATTTTACTTCCAACTAATCAATAGACGCTGTTAATGGCGACGTCATTATAGGGATTCTCCATTATATCGAATTGGATCCAAACAATAACATTGACATAACCTCTTTCAATGCAGGGTTGCCAGCGACCGGGAAAAGTCAGGGAAAAAAAATCAACCGGGAAAAGTCAGGGAAAGTCAGGGAATTTCGGTGTTGGTCAGGGATTTTTCTGATTTTTCGTGGAATTAGGCGCGGGCGGTCTCGGGCTCGCGTTGCGGGATTTTCATGCTCATTTTCACTTTAACAGACTGCGTCAGATCCATACTTAAAAGTCAGGGAAAAATATTGGAAAGTCAGGGAAAAGTCAGGGAATGGAAAAAAATAATTTGGCTGGCAACCCTGTCAATGCTACCAATGCCAAAAAACCGATATATATCGCTTTTCTGTGACGTGGCACTAATAGCGTCTATATTGGTAGCACTAATATGCAGGAAAACAACAGCTTGTAGCTGCCATTTTCCTACATATCTATATGCTTCATATCTGAATGCTGCTATTTAAAAACCTTTCCGAAGGCTCCCTGTTTAAAGAGGCTGTCTGCCCAGAAGGTGGTCTTCAGAAAAAGTACAAATACACTGGAAAAGCAAGGATCTTAAAAAAATGTTGAAAGAGTATGGAAAATTGGACAGCTAGGTTTCTTCTTCTAGAAAGGGAATAAAGAGTTGAGAATTTTGCAGTAAACTTTAAGAGCCTCAGTAGTAAGCGATTCTTATGTATATTAGGGTGGCCGTTAAAAATGACTTTTTCGAATTATTAATGGGAGAACCCTGCAAAAGTTTCCTTTTAGTGTGTAAAGGAAGACCAAAAAAAGAAAATCGAAAAAAAAAAAATTTTAACCGTGCCGCACGGCCGTTGTATGTGGCACATCTGCAAGTTCGATTTCCGCAAATCGCGCTTTTTGGCGTTTTGAAGCGTCGCCGAAGGCATGATAAAATTCATGTAAACATCTGAAATTGTGGTAATCAACTCAACTTTTTGCGTACTTTTACGTGGTGTTAACAGAATTTTTTTAGAATGTTTAAAAGTACCATTTTTCTGCTCTCAAAGTAGGGCAAAAAGACGATATGCAAAAATTGAAATTCGCATATTGCGATTTATCACGTTTTGGCGCATTGCTTATGCACGATTATTTTCATGCAGAGATCTGATATTACGGTAAGTAACTCAACTTTTTGCGTACTTTCACATGGTGTTGACAGAAATTTTTTAGAATTTTTCAAAATACGACTTTTTTTACCTTCAAAGTAGGGCAAAAACACGATATCTGGAAAATAATTATGTTCAGTCGTAATATCTTAGTTACCGAGAAAAATAAAACTGATCTTTACCTACATCGACTCGTTAACGTTAAATATCGATTTTAAAAGTAAAATTGCAGAGGAATTGGTGTACCACACCAAAGCGCCTCCAGTTTTTCAACAAAATCACAGAAAAACTTTGTAGGGATTCACGCTTTGTTCCAAAACGTAATAATTTCCTCAATTACCAATTTAAAACTTTAACGCAAATTTCGCTGTACTTCGCGAAGATTAAAGAGTGGCATTCTTAAAGCGTCGCAAGTTGAAGGTAGTTTACTCTATAATTTGTTGGCAATAGTTCCCGAGGTGTGTTTCCTAGCGGTGGGCATTTCGAAGGAAAACAAAAATAAGTCCTTACTATGGGGGAAAAAAATAAACTAAGTTTCACACTATAAAGTTAGTCGTCGACCCTCTCCACAGATGTTCATCATACAACTATACCAAGTAGATGTGTGAAAATATGAGTGCAGCCCTAACACCTCATCCGATTTCAAGCATATTTCAATATTTCATCGTGTTCCATAAAAGCAAGATCACCTAATTGCGAACGCGTTGCAACCTATGAGGCTTCTTCTTCTTCTTCTTCTTCTTCTTCTTCTTCTTGTTATTTTAGTGGCTTTTACTCCAGTAGAGGAGCCTACAGCCACCTAGAGACATTATTTAGTGTAATTTTTTAGGAGTAGGATTTATTAGGTGTAGGGTTAAGAATATTTTGTGGTGGTTGTTTTGAAGAAAAAAAGGGTAGGATCTAGACTAGAAGACCAACACCATTTTCACATTCTGAGGCCCTTCGGGACAACTTCCTGTACTATAGTTAGACTGGGTCTTGGAAAACAATCAATGGGATATGTTAAGTATTTTGAAATTAAAAAGAAAGTTGAGTAAAGGATAAACTAGTCACTCCCTGAGTGGCTACTTTTTTTCTTCTCTTTTTTATTACTTGATTTTTTTTTTTTTTTTTTTTTTTTTTTTTTTTTTTTTTTTTTTAACTTGTGGCTTTTAGAATGGACTCAGCTTCCAGCTCAAAGTCTATGGCAAAAAATATGAAGTGTTACACAAAACGATTTCCAAGTCGCCCGGACTGATTAAAAAACTAAATGATGCCAAGACATTATGACTTGACATAATTATTTCCCAGATATCGTGTTTTTGCCCTACTTTGAAGGTAAAAAAGTCGTATTTTGAAAAATTCTAAAAAATTTCTGTCAACACCATGTGAAAGTACGCAAAAAGTTGAGTTACTTACCGTAATATCAGATCTCTGCATGAAAATAATCGTGCATAAGCAATGCGCCAAAACGTGGTAAATCGCAATATGCGAATTTCAATTTTTGCATATCGTCTTTTTGCCCTACTTTGAGAGCAGAAAAATGGTACTTTTAAACATTCTAAAAAAATTCTGTTAACACCACGTAAAAGTACGCAAAAAGTTGAGTTGATTACCACAATTTCAGATGTTTACATGAATTTTATCATGCCTTCAGCGACACTTCAAAACGCCAAAAAGCGCGATTTGCGGAAATCGAACTTGCAGATGTGCCACATACAACGGCCGTGCGACACGGTTAAAATTTTTCTTTTTTCGATTTTCTTTTTTTGGTCTTCCTTTACACACTAAAAGGAAACTTTTGCAGGGTTCTCCCATTAAAAATTCGAAAAAGTCATTTTTAACGGCCACCCTAATGTATATTTCATTTTATCTTATCTGGAAAAATTTTAGATTTTTAGTTAGTTCTTTTGGAATTTCCACCTTCTGAATTTCTTTATATCTCTCGAAAAACTGTCCCTGTAAGAGCTCAAAATGTGTGTTAGATAAGTAAAAAGTGAGGAAAATGCTACAAAAGGAAGGATTTTGGGAAACCTCTGTAAAGAGAATTTTTCGGAAAGTATATAGACCGTATTCGATAACGTTCGATGTATCGTTTGGTTCAAAACAATAAAACATAACCTCAAACCAAACTGTAAGGATTTAAGTTGGAAAAGCTGAAAATGAGAGATTTCCTGACAATTTCACTTTGAATTGGCATTTGGTACTCAAAAGAATAACAAATCTGTTACAAAAGACCCGCTCTCTCAGATTTCTGAATTTACTTTTGAGGCTATGTTTATGTTTTGAACCAATCGATATCGATACAATCTCACCCGTTCAATGTATCGAATACGATCTATAAATTGTATAGAGATGGTAATGAAATGCAAGGATTTTAGGTAATAATGTACCAGCAGACATGTCCACAAGATTCTATGAAGAAATTACCCCTTCCTGATACACCTAGGAGTAGACTTCAACATGCACCAACACCGCCAGTATTCTTTTGTAAATGAGGCTATTGAAGACTGGGAATAGGATCTTTACAACCACTCTAGTCTGATGAACAGTGCTTTAAAGTGAACAAACATTACTCTTAGCTGTAGACTTTTTCTAGAAAACGCTAATATCTGTTTTGGGCTTGATTTCAGCTTGTATTTCGAGTCGACCTGGCCAGTGTGGGCGCTGTGATGGTTATATTCTTGAAGGCAAAGAGCTTGAGTTTTATCTAAGAAAAATCAAGCAGAAGAAGAAGTAATTTTTTATTTGTACATTTTTTTTATTATTTTTAAAACTGACAATGATTAAATTGTTTAAAAACTACCCAGTTTTGTGTGTTTATTTCATCTAAGATCAGTTAGTGCACTGGATAACCTCCCTCAATTAAAAAATATTTAACCAAGACTTGATAAATTCAGTACTTCTACCAGCATCCGTAAAACATGCCCAAAATTGTGTGAGCTATTAGCTTTCGCAGAATGCTTTATTATTTTGGTACTATTGGTGAAGTTTATTTATCCTCTATTTCATCAAAAATTGACTCATCTCGTCAAGGTAATAATACTTCACTTTGTGGCTGTTGCTCAATTTCTTTACTTAATTTCAAAATTATGGAAAAATGAGGATATCTGAAATATGTAGCTGAGAGTCAACCTTATCCCTGTTTTCTATGATCAGTTGGATCGCATATAGCCTTAAAGGAACTAGCGAGATTACAGTGTTTTAAAAATTTTGTTCCTTCATAATTATCTAAAAAATCTCTTAGAACAGCGAATAGTTCTTGCTTCCCACCGAAAAATTGTTAATTTTAAAGAAAAATTATTGTGTAAGTTTTACTACTGTATGTACTTACATGAGTATTTTTAGAAGGAAGGAAGTTGCATGAGTTTGAAAACACTGTTATTGGGCGCTGGTTCCTTTCAGCTAAATGCGATCCAGTTGATTGAAATGAATTTGCTGGAAGTTAAGATTTACCGATTCTATCAGGAACTTTTCACTCTGATACTTCGCCTTAGGAAATAATTAGGGACTTGTTTGCTGTTCCATTGCATATACATAGTGCAAGAATGATCAGATTCTAATTTCTTGTAGCTAAACCTGTGTCAAGGTGGATAAAGAATGGTGGTCGCATTTCGTACCCTCTGTACGTCACACGGTATCGGGTACATGGGCTGGCCTAGGCCGGGGGTCCGACTCAACCTCGGATTGCACGGCAAAACCCGCACCCTCCTGACGTCACAACGCTTCAAGATGGCAGCCAATATCGAAATGCGACCACCATTCTTTATCCGCCTTGAACCTGTGTAGGTAAAATTAGCCATTGAGAATGCAACATTACATTTGAGGCACACTTTGAGATATAATCATTTCACGAATGTGTTCTTATTCCTTTGATTCATGTACTCCTGCAGTTGTCAAGAAAACTCAGCCCTCCAAGGAAATGATCTCAACATAAAGCTCACTGGACTTGGTTCAGAGCTTTACTTGGATGGCAGAGAGTAACAGAAGTGCACCATTTTGCATAAAGTTGGAATGGATAAAATGAGGTTCAACATGTTGCCCTTCTGGAGATAAATGTCAAAGACGAAACCTAATAATTGTTCTCACATTTGAAACGGAACAGAGTGATAAAAACGAAGCAGCTAACCGAGCTGGATTAAAATAATAGAAAAGAGATGCGTAAGATCCAAAAACTCAAACAATCTCACTCTAATTTGTGAAGAAGTTTCAATTTTTTTTTTTTTTTGACTTCGAAAATATTTTTATTAACATCAAATTTTTGACAGGAGATAATATTTGACTGGTTGACTAGGTACTCCAAAGTAACGTTGCTTTCCTAAATGTGACTTGGTGCATTTCTGCTAAACCTAGCCTACTTGACTTTTGTCAGATCAAGGCATGATTTAAGATCTTTTCATGAAGGGAGTGCCAAACTGTCAAATTCAGCGAGTGCCAGAAAATCATTAGTTTAAGAGTTTTTGGGAATGGAGAAATTGCGCGTCAATTTTTTATTGCTTCACCTGAAAGTGTCTTTAGACCTGATTTTCCAGTATTTTTTATAATTTTTTTTGGCTATGGGAAATAGTGTGAAAATAAATTTAGATGTGAGAGAATGCACCGCCTAGTGACGTAAACTGGCAGCATTTACCATTTAAACGCATGTATTTTAGCAAATTAATCATTTTGTCTTACATCCTCCAATAATTGTTCAATTTATGAACCAACAGTACCTCGTGTTCAGCTCACTTGGTAGCGTCCCCGTCCATTCAAACACGGAATTCATCAAATTTCAGACACCTGCAAATTGGACTGCATTTTGCAATTTGGAACTATAGATTCTGGCTCTTCTGGAGAAACACTTATGTGCATGGAGAAACTAATGGCACTGCGTTGTTTTTAAACTGGGCTAGAATTTATAGTTCCAAATTGCAAAATGTAGTCCAATTCTCCATTTCTAACATGTCCTCTATGTATTTTTAAAATTCGGGTGCGGAAATATATACTGTGGTTCTTAAATTCTTCCTTTTTGTAATAGTCCATTAGAGTCGATGGTCTGTGTGCCAGGTTGACTTTTGTAGACCGCAAGGAAATTCAAGTCTGAAGAATTCCAAAACTAAACCCTTTCCTGATAGTCCCCGAAAGTATTAAAAAAAGTGAGTCGTTCAAGCTCTAGCCCTTCAGCGTACACTCAATGATCATTGAATTTGCCGCAAGATGCCATGAATGAGAATAATAAGGGTCGGAAAGTACATCTAATTTAATCTAATCTAATTAATGGTAAGGTTAAAGTCTAATGTTATCTAATTTATTTTATCAGATTGAAACTACTGATTCGGGAAGGGTGAAAATCACTGCGGCTGGAGGAGATTAGTTTGCAATAAATTTATTCAATCAAGTTACAGAACTTGGTTAGAATAATAATAAATTAATACAACATAATAACAAAATAAAAGAGATACCTCAAATAAAACAAACAAAACTTCTGTTATCGCGAAGGTAAAGTAAGAGAATTAGTGAAGTAAAATGGTCGCCTCTGTCCATCACTGTCACAAAGTATCAGTAATAGAGGAGTTCTATGTACAAATATTTTCACCAAAATTGAGATACATACTTGCACTTGGAGAGAAGCTTATGAAAAATAGAACTCTACATATTTACCATTATTATTTTATCTCAATAAAAACTTCTATAAAATTCGTCTATTCTAACTGAAATTTTCTCGTAATCAAAAATATATTAATTAACTCGGTCATTCATAGTATCTTTCAAATAAATTTTTACATGGAAGATTGATCCATCAATTTTCCATTTTACAAAATCATGTATTCATGAATTTCACGACAATAAATTTCAGAGTTCAGAGAAATGTCATAACTTAGAGCCAATCACAATGTGGATACCTACCATCAAAATAAGATTCTGTAGTGCTTAGTTCAGCTAATGCTTACTCTTTACATCAAAGAAAAATAAAAGAAAATCTTTGCTATGAAGCCAATAACAATGAAAAGTTTCATACTTTGTATCTCTAAATACAAATGCAAGTTAAAAAATGTACATATTTAGTTTTTTCAAAATGACTCTGAGGCAGAGTGAAAATTCTAAATCAATTTTCTTCATATAGGTATATTCTGTTTTAAAGGATTGAGCGACATTGCATGACTAGACAGAACAGTGCATTAGCATACTTTTTTCTTTTTCAAAACAGACTCCTACTTTTTCATATGGATTTTGTACACGACTCTCAACTAAAGGTTTCTGTCAATCTCACACGAAGTATTCCTCACAATCTCTTATGTGAAGGGAGTGTCATCAAATTTTAAGTGACCAATGACCACAGCAATCAAAAGAGAACATTACACTGACAATAATTCAATAGTTCGTAAAAACAAAGTTTAAAATTTACAAAAATATAAACAAATTCAGGGAGGAAGTGGTGGATGAACAACTTTCATCTTCTCAACAACATTGAAATGATTTTGATCGCAGTTTAATACTGACAAAATCGGAATGTTCCAGTTACAACAGACCTTTTTTTCCTCTATGATCAATCAACATGAATTGGAAAAGCTCTATGAACTATCTAATGGTATCTTCTGCGATCTAATTCCTCACTACAATTCCATCACCTCTTCTTTACACTCATTTGAGATAAACTCTACTGTGCAAATCACTTTCAGGTAAACCAATACCTGGTAAATGACACTTGCCATCACAGGTAATTACATTCTTCCAGAAAAAAGGAAAAAAAAATATTCCATGGAAAATAGGCTTCAGTTCCTCAAAAACAGGATTGCAACTGTTTTGTGATGAAAACAATATTTTTTTTAGAATATACTTAGGCATGAAAAATTCAAATTTATTGGTTGAAACCAAGAGAGGAGTAGCATAAAGGGCTTTTTCTGGCCGCACCTGGATTGTGCAAACTGTTTTATTTATTAACTCTTCCAAGAACTAGTCCTGGGTAGACTCTTTGCCAACATTTTTTAACCCGCACAAAGGCACTACAGCACCTTGAATCCAAAATTGCAGAATTGAAAAATAATTATTTTTATCAACTTTGATGACTGTTGTCACTCTCTCCAAGGATGATACCTGCATATTTCTTTCTGTACTTTTTGTTTCTAACCTTGAAAATAGGTCTCCTATTAAAAAGAGGCCATTGCTGCCATTTTAGGCCGAGTTTTAGGAGTTCTTGTAACTTGAAAATAAAGTCGGGTTAGCCTGATCATGAAATATTGCACTCTAATGAGTTGAATGAAACAGTGAATCTCATGCACCAGTAATTTTATGTGAGTACTTACTTCACAATGTCAGAAAAAAATTGTTTGAGCAAAGGTAGCTGAAATTTGTTTTTAGAAGAGATGAATATAAAATTAAGGGAAAAGCAGTCCCTTAGCAATGGGCATTTGTTGTAGAACATTGAAGATTTTCCTCAATTTACGCACAGATAATATAAAGTTGTAGGTCAAAATGTTGAATTTTTTTTTTTACCCACTTGAACAAAAACCGCTTTCCAGAGGAATTTTGCACCAGGAACTAAAGTCGATTTTCCGGTGGAATGATACATGTACATGTACCCCTTATCTTTGAGTATACTAAAACACATTTTTTTATTTGGACAACTTAAAATTGAGGAAGTGGGCTAACGCACTAACTGAGGACACTGATGGTAAAGGCTTATGCACGGAATAACAAGAACAAGACATTTGGTGGCGGTTAAATTTAGATATTATTTGATGTGATGTTCTTCATGGTTCCCTGAGCAGAATGAGCTTACATCAAACTTCCTATGAGCTAATTTTAAAAGAAAAAATAACCAGCCTTGAAGTGAAGAGTGAATTTCTTGACACTTATACATGCAATATCTGGTTAAATATTGAAAATCGAGAAGAGTTCAGTGATTACAGCGTCCCGCACATATAACAGTCTTGCATCTACATAAGAAGATGCTTGTGCGAAGGCCAAAAATTCACCAATTGGCCCTGTTTTCTTCTTTTTTCTTTTTTCTGTTTTTTTTTTACATTGACTGACACGAAGTTCAATTTTAAAAGTTCATAGTGCTAAGGAAGTTGTGAGGAACATCATAGCAATCAATATCCAAATTTGGCCTGTGCTAAATTTCCTGATTTTCCGTGCGTAGTCTTTGAAAGAACATGAAGAGAACAGGTGAAAAAATAAAAAAAAACATTGAAACAACCAAAGCTTAGGCTTTGCAAAGTCTTACAAAACAAAGATGGCTCTAAATCCTTGTAATCTCTGCCTTGTAAATATACAACATACATACAAACTCCGTGTTGTATATGACAGCACCTCGATATTTTAGGTTTTTGAGAGACAAGTGGACAAAACACTAGTATGGGACAAGACTCTTTCATTCTCTCGATTAAAATAATACAATCAAACTAAACCAGCTAATTTTGTGATGCGGCTGTCATAATACTTACGGGAAAAAAATTGAGAAAAATGTGGTAACATTTACAAGCTTTCCTCAAATTAATGAGAAACAACTGGTTCACAGTGGTCAGGCACTAACTTGCTGTGCTGTACGCTAAGAGGTAGGGGTGCAGGACTGCCATGCTCAAGAACGTAGTTTAGGAACTTCATAGGGATGTTGGAAAATTCGAAGGAATAATTCCTGCATATATTTCAAAGATCTCCCCTACAAATGAATTTTAATCTTTTGTCAATGTTAAAAAATTTCAAAAATTGTTAAAAATTAATTGATAGGTCCAACATAACTAAAAATTTACGAACTTTCAGCAGATTTGGGAGCATCCTGCACCCTAAATCAATACTGTAGTACAGCAAACAAAATGAAACAAACAGAAAATGCCTTCAGAACAAGCCTTAACAAGCCTTTCAGATGAAGTCCTAGGACTTCATCTGAAAGGCTTCTTCAATTGTTCTCTGTTTGGTTCCTGCTTTTTTAGTCTCAATTTTCCTTTTTTTGCTCGCATTGCCAGGCACTTCAGGTTTGACGAACTCAGACCGGCGCTTATTTCGTAGCTCGTAATCGCTAACAACTTGCCTCCGTCTCCTGTTTTCTTTGTCAAACTCTTCCTGCAATTTTAGGGCAAGCTCGTAATCTTCGTTGACTTGCCTCATTTTTTCTTTGCTATATGGTGACAATGACATTTTGTTTGCCCGATGGCTTTCTTGCAGTTGAGACTGCTTTGGTTTCCGGACTGAACAGGGCTCCAGTAATTGGGTCGACTTTTCACAGTAGCTCCTTATGATATCTTCTTCTAGTTCTTTCAATTCAGAAACATCCGAAATTTCTGGCGGTTCTGAAGGGACACAACTTTCATCTTCATCTTCAAAATCTGTCTCCGAGTCTGAGTTCCCTTGGTTGGCAGTCGATGTGAAGGCAAAAGCTCGCTTGTGCGGAGAGAATGACAGGCTTTTGTTCGGGGCAGTGGACCCTGCAGGCTGGAAAAAACTTTTGCAAATCGATGGCTTTACAGTCTGCGGTATAATTATGCGTTTAGCTGTGAACAAATAAGCAAAATATTTTTTTTAGCATACGTATTTTGTGGTGGTGCAAGGCTAAAACATTGGCGCTAAAATACAAGAATTAGGCAATTAGGACTGCTTCCCTAGCAGGAGAGGAAGAAAAAGATTTTCTCCCAGAACACTTGGCATTTGGTTTTGAACAGAGACAGCCTGATGATACTACACTCTGCTGAATTTTCTTTCATGCTCTAAGTTTTACCACATTGGTGATGACAGCTGGCACCAGACAGAGTTTCCAAATTTAATCTGGTATCAGATGCTAGCATCTGGAAGATGCATAAATCTGACTGCGGGGTGATGAGCTTGTTTATCTGCAAAACAGTTGTGCTATAATTGATTTAAAAGATCAACACTTACTTTAAGCTTTTTAATGACCTTGAATTTTCTACCCAAACAGAAAATCCCTGATTTAAGACCACTTCCACTATAATAGGTATAAATCTATGGTTAACTCCACAAATTTCTGAACATTGCCCAAAATAAACACCCAATCGATTAACCGTAAAATTTAATTGATTTAGCCGCCCAGGAACAGAATCAACCTTTACCCCAAACGCAGGAACAGTTCAAGAATGAAGAACATCTACAGACGAAACTAGAAGGCGCATCTTTAAGCCAAGCGGAATAACAAAACAATTGTCAACTTCTAGCAACCGCATCAAATTAAAAACGACGTTCATTATGACGTTTCGAAATCATGCTTCCTAGTTCTGGTTATTGCCATTTGATTTCTGACTCGAGTTCTAAAATGAGCAGGAATGTTACAAGGTCTGTTAGATTAGAAACCGAATTTTGATGATAACTAGCCCATTGTGCGTCCAAATTCGGTTTCCTTAGACTTTCTTGATAGCTGATAACATACTATAGAACGCTAGATTCACAGACTTTGTTTATTTTGATCAGTGTTCATTCTGTGTCACCTTGAATACGAGTAAGTCAGGTGCGTTCTGCGATTTTCATCATGCGATCACTGATAGAGCAAAGATTTAACATTGAATTTTGTTTTGAACTCGGTGTACCTTGTATCAAAACTTTTGGTATGCTAAGTAAAGTATAACAAGATCATTTTACGAGTTGTTCTCACTGTTTTGAGTGGGTTAAACGATTCAAAACTGGTCAAAAGTTCGTCGAAGATAGGAAGCACGGGAATCGACCGCCACCGGCAACTGACATTTGTCGCGTGGATAAAGTGCGGGCAAAAGTGCTCGAAAACGTCGTTTTGAGCTTGCTGAACAGTGTAATATTTCTGAAGGCTCTGTACATACAATTTTTATTATGTAGACATGCATCGAGTTTCAGCTAAACTTGCCCCTTGATTATTGTCCGTTGAACAAAAATCCAACCGAATGTCAATTTCCCTTTAGCTGCATGAACATCCTAACAATGATCCTACATTTTTAGATAGGATAATTTTCGGTGAAAAAACTTGAGTGTACGGCTACGATATGATTACAAAACTCCAATCATCCTTGTGGGTTGAGAAAGGTGGTGCAAGACCGAAAAAGGAGAGACAAGTTCGGTCAAACATAAAAATCGCAGAACACCCATGAGGTTGCCTCATTTCAAGCCATATACCAACGAAGCTAATTAGGATTTCTCAAATTTGTGAATGTAGCGTTCTTTAGTACATTTCTAGCTATCAGGAAAGTTCAAGAAAACCTAATTCAGACGCATTGTGGGCTAGTTATCACCAAAATCTGGTTTCTAATCTAACAGGCCTTGTATTTTCAGGTGCTAGCGCCTGACAGTGCGACCATTCTACTGTCATATTAGCCCAGAAATTGGCTTTCGATTGGTCCAATTTTGATTAGCTTTTTTTCCCCGTCGAAACGTTTTTTTTAACTATTTAATGGACTTTAAGGTTTTTTTGTAAAATTTTTCATGGGAAAAACAGAACAAAAACCCTGCAAAAATTCCTTGCAACTGTCCTTTCATGTTGTGAAATGTAAATAGGCTGATTTCGTTTGATTATATCTAATTTGCATTGGTTTTGCGGATGATTCCAGTTACAAAAAGTAATTCTTTGGACCATCTTAATATTTTCCTTCCTTGCAGTAACAAGACGGCCATCAGTCCTGAAGTTTGAATTTTCCTCTTGCAAAAAAGGTTTGTTCTGCGTACAAATTCCACGTTCTGATGAAAAATTTAATTTTAAATAGTCTGTCATTGGTTGATTTAGAGCTGGCAATTTTTTAGAGCAAGCCAGCAAAGAGCCTTCTGGGGAAGTCACTGATACAGCTTATGGTTGAGAGACACCCACTTTCATTTTTACTTGTGTTCATTGAAGCATTCTTGTCAGGACCTTAAAATAATTGATGTAAAGCTTACATTCATTCTGACCTATCTTTCTGTCTACACTTACTGTGGCAAGTTAAGGACCATTCAGACACGGCTATCTTCATCACCTATACCTTTTCTTTTTATCATACTTGAAAGCATGATAGGATTGATATTTAAAGTCGGTTATTTTTTTGGGATTCACAACTTGAAAAATTTTCAAGATCATGGTCATGGATATTGTGAGAATCATTTTCAATTAACACATTTTTAGAATACTTACAGGGAGAATCTTTCGTTGGAGTGACAGGAGATGGCCTGATTGGACGAAACTGGTTTGGGCCTTCTTTCGAGCTCCCACTGACAGGCAATTCACGATCTGATGAAAAATTTAATTTCAAATAGTCTGTCATCGGTCGATTTAGAGCTGGCACTTTTTTATAGCAAGCCAACAAAGAGCCTTCTGGGGAAGAGTCACTGATACAGCTTATGGTTGAGAGACACCCACTTTCATTTTTACTTGTGTTCACAGAAGAATTCTTGTTAGGACCTTAAAATGAATACAGAACACCTTATTGATATAAAACTTACTTACATTCATTGAAAAATATAAAAGACAATAAGAGTGAATACAAATTTTAGGACACAAAAGTAGCATTATCAGTCATACAATGCGATATGTACAAAACCAAATATTTTCAGAGGAAAAAAGCTTACTTGAGCCTACTAGAGCTGTTAAATAAATCCTATACATATATATGGTTGGCTGAGTGTTTTCCAGTCATTATACTTGTAAAATTTAGCAAAAACAGTTGTACAACTTATAACAGCTCTGAAGAGTTAACAGAGAAGTGATTTGAAGTTTGAGAAAAAGAGAGGACGATTTTTAATCGTTGCCTAGCTTCAACATTAAAATAATACATGGCAACTGAACCATTCAGTTGTATTACACTAGAGTCCCTTTATACTGAGAGTCAAGACAATTTGAATCCATTTCTGATTGGTTCCCGTATTTTAGGCCTCCACAGTGTCACAAACGGGAATAAAGATTACATTTTCACCAATTGCAAAGATTATAATCTGGAATGGACCAGGGAATTACGGGTTCGGCAAGGAACAAACGGAATGAGAGGAGGAACGGAGANGAGAGGGCGTCCAGCCAAACGGTGGGTAGAGGGCATCCATGAAGAGATGGAGAGATGCCACCTTCCGGAGGATCTCTACCATGACAGATTCCTGTGGAGAATAGGCGTCGCAGAGCGCCCTAGCGCGCCGTAAAAGCGACTCATACATACATAATTTTCGGTGAAAAAACTTGAGTGTACGGCTACAATATGATTACGAAACTCCAATCATCCTTGTGGGTTGAAAAAGGTGGTGCAAGACCGAAAAAGGAGGGACAAGTTCGGTCAAACATAAAAATCGCAGAACACCAATGAGGTTGCCTCACTTCAAGCCATATACCAACGAAGCTGATTAAGATTTATCAAATTTGTGAATGTAGCGTTCTTTAGTACATTTCTAGCTATCAGGAAAGTTCAAGAAAACCTAATTCGGACGCATTGTGGGCTAGTTATCACCAAAATCCGGTTTCTAATCTAACAGGCTTTGTATTTTCAGGTGTGTCAGGTGCTAGCGCCTGACAGTGCGAGCATTCTGCTGTCATATTAGCCCAGAAATTGGCTTTTGATTGGTCCAATTTTGATTAGCTTTTTCTCCCCTTCGAAACGTTTTTTTGAACTATTTAACGGACTTTAAGGTTTTTTTGGAAAATTTTACAAGGGAAAAACAGAACAAAAACCCTGCAAAAATTCCTTGCCACTGTCCTTTCATGTTGTGAAATGTAAATAGGCTGATTTCGTTCGATTATATCTAATTTGCATTGGTTTTGCGGATGATTCCAGTTATAAAAAGTAATTTTTTTGATCATCTTAATATTTTCCCTCCTTGCAGTAACAAGACGGCCATCAGTCCCGAAGTTTGAATTTTCCTCTTGCAAGAAAGGTTTGTTCTGTGTACAAATTCCACGTTCTGATGAAAAATTTAATTTCAAATAGTCTGTCATTGGTTGATTTAGAGCTGGCAATTTTCTAGAGCAAGCCAGCAAAGAGCCTTCTGGGGAAGTCACTGATACAGCTTATGGTTGAGAGACACCCACTTTCATTTTTACTTGTGTTCATTGAAGCATTCTTGTCGGGATCTTAAAATAATTGATATAAAGCTTACATTCATTCTGATCTATCTTTCTGTCTACACTTACTGTGGCAAGTTAAGGACCATTCAGACACGGCTATCTTCATCACCCATACCTTTTTTTTTATCATACTTGAAAGCATGATAGGATTGATATTTAAAGTCTGTTATTTGTTTGGGATTCACAACTTGAAAACTTATCAAGATCATGGTCATGGATATTGTGAGAATTATTTTCAATTAACAAATTTTTAGAATACTTACAGGGAGAATCTTTCGTTGGAGTGACAGGAGATGGCCTGATTGGACGAAACTGGTTTGGGCCTTCTTTCGAGCTCCCACTGACAGGCAATTCACGGTCTGATGAAAAATTTAATTTCAAATAGTCTGTCATTGGTCGATTTAGAGCTGGCACTTTTTTATAGCAAGCCAACAAAGAGCCTTCTGGGGAAGAGTCACTGATACAGCTTATGGTTGAGAGGCACCCACTTTCATTTTTACTTGTGTTCACAGAAGCATTCTTGTTAGGACCTTAAAATGAATACAGAACACCTTATTGATATAAAGCTTACATTCATTGAAAAATATAAAAGACAATAAGAGCGAATACAAATTTTAGGACACAAAAGTAGCATTATCAGTCATACAATGCGATATGTACAAAACCAAATATTTTCAGAGGAAAAAAGCTTACTTGAGCCTACTAGAGCTGTTAAATAATCCTATACATATATATGGTTATCTGGGTGTTTTCCAGTCATTATACTTGTAAAATTTAGCAAAAACAGTTGTACAACTTATAACAGCTCTGAAGAGTTAACAGAGAAGTGATTTGAAGTTTGAGAAAAAGAGAGGAAGATTTTTAATCGTTGCCTAGCTTCAACATTAAAATAATACATGGCAACTGAACCATTCAGTTGTATTATACTGGACAAACGCGACTGAAAAGATTGGTTCAGCACCTTTGCAAAACTTTAAAAGCACTTGCTTGGCGTTGTTTGCCATGAAAAATACATTTTGTAATGACAATGCTCAAGAGATTAAATTGGTCAATAGTAATTTTTATTTTGAATAACTGTCAGAACTAAAGAACCATGAATAAGGAAAAGGAGAGAGGTTACTTGAGAAGGCTGCTGAAAGATTTTGATCGAAATCTAGGGCTGTTCTTTCATTTTTTGGTGAGCCTCTGAGAGTCTTCCATTACGAAACAGTAATGATAAGAGCACTCTTAACAATAAATTAAACTTAACCTTTTTGGAAATTTGATCAAAGCTACTGTGTTGAAAATATACGTACGTATAAAACTGTCAAGGGGTCCAATAACAGTATTTTCTTGGGGTGAGGAAATCGTGGAATTACTACTGGTAAAACCCTTTCCATGGCTGGAAACCATTCTTTTCTTTGATGTTTTGGAAAGAGTGTTCGTTTTTGGGGTTGAGGTCACTGCGTCATCAGAGAAACTAATAGATGAAGATGATGTGATGAGAGTGGGTTCTCGTCCTAAAACCTGATGATAAAAACATCCATTTAAAAATAGACAGTTGCACACTGCTTGCTCATGTGCAAAACAGAACAATAGAACAAAAAAACATAAGTGGGCATAATTTGATTTTTCACTGCATTTTAAGTGATCGTAGGACTAGTAGACAATCTTTACGCCATAAATCGAGCAATATCTTTGTTACTACTTTTGTTTTCGAGACATATTTTGGTCATTTTCATCCTGGGTCTGCTCAATTTTTGGTATATTTTCTAAAATAAATGCACCATGTCTTTTTGGGCTGAAAAAGCAATTGCATTGTCCCTTTCATAACACTAAGAACATTACTGTTGCTTGGTTGTACTTGCAAAAAAGAATTTTAGAATAAAGAATTGACCTTTTATTTGATGAAGGAGAAACCTTGCAGACTAGGTTGTACCTGTAGCTTTTTCAAGGGTGAGGGTTTGGACCAAACCCTTATCAGAGTCTCCCCCTTGTCTTTGTCTAAAGTGGCTTGCCACAAAGGGATTCCCCCAGGCTTCGATGACGTACCTCGGCAAATCCCTCTTCTACCTATCTCTCCTCTGGAACCCTGGATAGTCATACTTAAAGAAAAAAACGATCACTTACATCTGCTGTCTGCTCTGCAGTCAGTAACTGTCTTGCGATTTCCGCATCTTTTGCAGCCATTAGTTCTCTTTCTCGCTGTAGCGCCGCTGCTTTCTCTTCTTCTTCTTTCTGAAATCAAAGGAGGCATTTTAAATCTGGTGACAATTTCATGGTCTATATTTGATACTCACAGAAATAATATGTTTAGAGCACCTTTTTCAAGTAACACCTGTTCCTATCACCACTTCCAGGGTATCTACAGATTTTTGAAAACCATTTTCAGGACCTTTTCAGGACCCTCAGAGTATTTTAGCAAATCAGGGTCTTCACTTACTGCTAATTTTAATGGAAATCGAGTCCATCTTTATGAAAATTGCTGATGACTAAAGGAATCCATAATATGTATGTGAAATCGGGGGCATTTTTTCTACTTGACAACTACACTTAGACTCGCAAAAACCAAGAATTTTTAAATTTTTCAGGACCTCGAGTTAAATTTCCGAACTTATTCATGACTTGAGGACCGGTCATGCCAATTCCGGACTTTTTCAGGAATTTTGGGACTTTCCGGACCTGTAGACACCCTGCACTTCCTGACCATTTCAAAAGAAGACCAAGAGCCATACTTTAAACAGAAGATTGTAAAAGATCTCCTGATTTTAGCGGTAGATCATTCCTGCTAAAAGGACTGTTCATCTTTGTGCCCAGTTAAGCAAGCCCTGATGCTAAAAAAGTGCAGCCTTTATGGAAAAAATTTTTCTTTTCTAGGTAGAAACTAAAAAATTGGTTCGCAAACACTTTCTTGTGAGATTAAGAAAAAGAAGTTGAGTCATTGGGTGTAGGAAGGGCATTTCTTATTGTTGCGGAGTTTCAGAATCTCCACCGCTAATTAATATCTTAATGAGAAAACTATTGGGCAAATTTTCTGAAATTTTTAGTTTTTACCATTGTAAAATCATGAAGCAAATTCTGTAAAAATTTCAATGATTTCCATGCATTTGCTTTGATTATAGTAGATGGCATCCAAGAAATGCCCTTTCAGCACCCAGTGCTTCAGTTTCCCTTAACTTTGAGAACTATTCCACTGTTACCACATTAGCAAAAAAGTTATGCTAAATGTTCAGTATTGAAAATAATTAACCACTTTAAAATGAAAGATTATCTGCCTTAGTGATCCTAGTTCTCTTTGTTGACAACTTATGTTAGTTGTGTGTGTGCTACACCTTAATTTGCTTTATTGACTGATACATTTATTCCCTTTCACTTTACAAACATTAGAGAATAAAATGATTAATATGAAACATAGTTTAATACACATGGGTAATTTTAGATTCTTACCTGAAGTTGCCTAACAATTTCTTCACTAGCCATTTCTTCTTTTTCCCTCTCTTTCCTTAGCTGCTCCTCGTACTCTTTCAATTGCCTCTGAAACTCTTCTCCCACTTCACCAGGCTTACTAATTTGGACGCTAGGACCACTTTGGTTCAGAAGTCCTGGAACATTGAATTCATACTTATAACTACAAGATTAATAAAAATCACCTTAATGTTTTAACTAGTGTTTGAATCCCACAGGTGCTATGTCCCATGAGCACCTAAATGATTAAAGATGCAGCCTGTGCAATTGCGATACTAGAAGAAATCCGATCCTTCTGAGTTGCGACATAAAAACCATTTATAACATTCCGAGCGATACCATAACGATAATCTAAATATCTCGGAAAAAAGTGAATAATACTTTAGTGGGGTGCCATGATTGCAGCCTTAGAGCCTTCACACACAGTGACAACACTGCTGATGTATTTGCACCCTATCTGCGCAAAGGGGGTTTGAATGGATGCAGAGGTAGACTCTCACAATAATGTAGGTGATCCACTCCATTACCGCCACAAATTTGAGAGCTGTTTAGAACTTGGGAATTTTTTCAGAGTAAACCAGAGGTAGGTAACGTTTTTTTTTGCAAAATTTACACATGAAAGAGTGCATAAATTGCAAAACCGCTTGACATGTAAGAGCTCCATTCTCAATTTAATTTTTGAGATGGAGAGAAATTAGGAGAGTGTTTATGGTTGGAGCTTTTACGGTTAGCAAAGGGCCTTGCTTTATTTTCCTGTGCTAACAAATAAAAGGTGCAATGTCTGAGTAGACATGTTGGAAACAGAATTGCTCAAGGTCCAACAACCCACATGGTTTGAATTACCTGCTGATTCATGGGCTGACATTAGCAAACCCAATATTATATTTGAACCCTCAACAACCCTCGGGGGACGTAGAGTCCCTTGCGTAAGTAAGTAAGTAATGCAACTTTCATGAAGATCTATTGTAGGACTGCAAGAAAATTGTGAAGAGGGTAGGTAAATAGTTTTTGTTTTAAAATTTTAATTGACTCGACATACTATTGATCGATGGATACTTTTGAGTCTCTATTTCTGCTCTTAAATAACAGGAAGGATTAAGGCTTGTCAGAAGTTTACGTGTACTGACGAGGTGTTCGACCTTTTTGGCGATATTCTTTTGAGTTTGCTCTGGGAGATTCACTTTCTGTAAGTAGAGACAAAAGTGTGCACAAAGTCACAAAACTGGGCTACGCCTGCAGCTAGGCAAAGTTCCATGTATGTTAAACGGTTATGACATCTTTGGGTCACCTGGTCTCTCTGCATGCAATCCTGAACTGACGTATTATCAAGTGACAATCTTGGAGCTCAGTTGTTTCAGCCCAGAATACCTTGGGTGCTAACTTATCTCACTTATTTAGGAAACACATGAGTAAAGTAGTAACTTACGTTCTTCTACCCCATCATCCTCATCCCTCAGTCTTTTCGCAACTTCATCCGGATATTGGTGCTGAATCGTTGCCCAGAATGCCTCGTTCACCAGCTCTTTTTTCTTTGTAGCTCGACGAAGCCAGCTTCCAAATCGCTTCTTATCCCACGGACACTCTAACTTATTGCACTCTACAGTGCTGTGAAAACAAGCTTCACATATTGAGTGGCTACATGGCATGGTCACTGGTTTGATTAAGATGCTTCTGCATGCGATGCAGAAGACATCTTCAAGGCTCAAAACTAATTTTGATTTACTCATTATTCCAAATCACACAACAATAAAACAGCACTAAGAAAATTATTCTAGGATATAGTAGGAAACTGAAAAATTTGGAAATATGACACAAACGCAAGCCATAATGCAAAATTGCACACACCACACATAACCTCGTTCTTCTTCAAAACAACAGAGCAGTTGTCACGAGAAAGGGGCAAAACAAACGAAAATACCGCGCCAACTATTCTGGGGTTAGCCTTGGCCAATCACAACCACTGGATTTAAAGTAAAAAATTTAACCTACATTTGTTGACCAATCACAGCTATTTTTTGCAGTATAGGCAACTTCTTTACATTTTAGTGCACCTAGATGTACCGAGATGTAGATTTTAGTTTGGAAAGTTGCCAGGTGATTGGCTGAAATCTGAAATCTGTTACTGGTTGCTTGGACCATCTCAGACAGGACAGTCCTATCTATTTGTTTATAATCTGTCCTTTGCAAACTGGTCCGACGTGTCATCAACAAAACCGTGTCGTACATGTGAAATTTTCATTATTTCTCCTTTTTTAACCCTTTTAACCGATTGAAAAAAATTGTGCTAATCAGGTTGAAAGTTCTAACATAGGTCAAGCCTTCCTTCAGTTCTACCGGTTTAATCGCCCACATCAATTACTCTTAATGTTTTGAATCCTTATCACCAAATTTTAGTGTCAAGCACTCCTAAAAAAGTCTGAATTTTGATTATCAATCTCGTTTTTCACTCCAGGTGATTCATTCCGATTTTGTTTTCCTCCTTTTTTTGCACTAAACTTTTGTAGCAGTACCATGTCTGACTGGGAAGTAGTCGGCGGCAAGCACAAGAAAGAGAAGCCGTCCAACAAGAAAAACGCTAAGAAGGAGACTCAAAAGTTTCTGGACAAGGCTCCAAAGATTGAGGATATACGTAAGTCTCACAACTGTCTGTTAGTCCTGAAATTCTTTAATTTTTTATCTAAAATTCCACACATTCCCACTAGCGCTCCAAAAACATTTTTCCCTATTGTAATTTTCGATCTCACCTCATATTCATCTGTCTCTCTCTCTGGGCTTGTTGAGAATGTGAATTATAGGCAAGTTTCCAATTGCAAGCCTTGGAATTTCTGTTCATCCTTCAACTTCAACTGTCTTTTGCCCTAAAACTTCCATCGGAACTCCTGTATTGAGCACCATCCGTGTTATACACATTCGTCAGCTAATGTTCTTATTTATACACATCTCTCACCAAATATTCACAAATCTCAAAGACTTCTTTCTGAAAGACAATTTCTGTACCTACCCAACTGATTCATATGTGAAGCTAACATTATTCTTCATGTAATGGTGTTAAACCATAATCTTAGTGCTACCATATGTCAGTTTAAATGATTGGCGCAGATAGCCCTCAAATCCCCAGTTTCCATAGGAACATTCACAAGTTGCAGTAAATAAGTTACGATCTATATTTTAAGCAGATCCAAGGCCGCATAGCTTTTTGGTGTAAGTTCATTAAGTACTCAAGCAAAGGTTCTGTGCTGTACTTAGTTAAGGCTGAAATGGGCGAAAATTATTCGGAAATCATTTGGTGAATCAACAACGTCGATCAACTGTCTCAATTGGACAAATACTTGACGGTTCATCTATCTTATCAAGTAGTGTGGACCAAGCATCTAATCAGTGTTGCTGCACCAATTTCAGTGATTGCCGAAATATTTGTGCTCAACTCAGGGACAGGGTGTACAGAGAGTGCTGCAGCGGCTTTCTCTCAATACATATCCATCAGGAGTCATTCAGGTACATTGAAAAGTGAGAGAAGAAATTAATTAATCCGTCAAAATTTCTCCTAATATATTTTGTTAATTTCTTAATTTTCAGTGCCAGCCTCTGAAGTTCACACATTATATGCAATAAATAATGCTGAAGTGCCAAATAAGAAAAATGGAGCAATCCCCAACAAAAACAAGGTTGATGAAGGGAAGAAAAATGAAAAGAAGGCGCCAAAGAATCCATCAGGGAAAAAGTCAGCCCCACGGAAAGCTGTCTCCTTTACAGCTGCCATGATAGCGGTATTGAGCGAATCACTCTCAAATCTTTTTATCTGCAGCAGAATTAAAGGTCATGTGTTGACGGAGTCCTGCCCTGAAAAACCCCAAATGAAAAGGGTCTTATGACTTCTCTGCCACACAGGGGTGCAGATAGAGCTAAACTCTCCCTCAAATTTAGTGAGCCCTACCCAATTTTGAATCTTAATTTATGATCCCTAAGCACCCTTAAAGACTGAAAAAAAAGAAAGAAAGAAAGAAAGGAAAAAAAAAAACTGGCAGGACATTACCCATTTGTATGGGTATCTAGCAGATGTAGACTCTCCGTAATGTAGGCATCTTCTCCATTGGGGACTCAATTTTAGGAGCTTTTTTTTAGTTTAGAAATTGTCTTAGAGAAAACCAGTGGCATCATTGTGTTTCTCGTGAAATTTTACCCATAGAAATCTACTTAAATAGCAAATCCCCTTGGCGTGCAAGAGCTGCATTAAGAAAATTTACAAACCTATTTTATGCAAGGAAGTAATCATTACAGGAGATGAAGATTTTTGAAGCTTTGTCATTCATATTAAAGTATAGACAACGAAAAGAGTGACGAGAGAGTGCTAAAGGAGCAGTCTTATTATCTCTTCCGAGCAGGTTGATGTATTGAAGTTTTTGGTCTAATCCTCTGTCTCTGTGTATTACAGCTAGGGAAGCAGAATTTTGATGATTTGAAACTGGAGGTGGAAATTGGAGGAAAGCGTTTCTCTGAGATTCCACTAATGCGACTAAGCAATCTTGCAGCCTACGTCAACCAAAAACTAGGTAGCGAAAAATACAGTCTTGTGTTGGCGTTCGAAACGCTTCACATGCCTCTAAAGCAGCTTCCATCGAATGTTCATAGCCTGCTACAGAAGGAGCTTTCAGCGATCGGCGAACCAGCTCTAGCAGATTATTTTGTTATGTGTCTTCAAATGGCAGTGGAAGAGCATAGTAAAGGTTTGTTTTTTACAGTCTGTTACATTCCTCAATTTTGTGTAGCCAATTAAGGCATCCATTTTACATCTTGAAGAGTTCACCATTTGTCAAACCCATGATGAAAATGCGATTATTAAAGTTGGTTCCGTTTTATTGATTTTTGCATTCAGCCCACCTTCCAAGGTAAAAAGTCGAGACTTTAAAAGGTAGAAATATTTACATGAGTTTTTACAATGCCAAATTTTTCCACCAAAAAATTAAATTTAGATACCTGCATGGTGAAACTAGCAAAACATCCAAATTCTTAAGTCAATTAAACTGTGGTGAATTTAACTTTCCAAATTACCTTTTTTTTCTTAATTTGATCCTCTTACTTTTACTTTTCAGGCTCACAAATCAATGGCTATCTACTTTTCTTGCAGTTGTTATCTGTTTTGTCCCCAAACTGTGTTACTAGCAATATTTCTAAGATTAAGTCTCTACTGGAAGCAAATAGCAAGAAACCATCAAATGTTTCTGTAATTCTATGGGCCTGCTGCCTAGAAGCTTTGAAAAGTTTCTTCGCTGGTTACAAAGGTATGTTTTCAATGTGAGGAGCACACTTGCTTTATAATTTTTATTTTATTTTTAAAGAAAATTGCATTTGAAAGATGAGGCCACTAAACAAGGTCTAGAGTAGAAAATATGTTCATGTTTTCTCTTCAAAATTGTATGCAGACACAATTCACATTCTAGAAAATTTAAAAATCAACTCTTGAATGACAACATGCATTCTTAACATGAATCAAATTGAAGTCAGACTGTGCAAAGAATGTAATCTTTATTTTGTTTGATGATATTACCTTTCTCCCGATCACTTGTTATCCGATTTTAGACGATAGCTATTTCGATGTTAATCATCATCATCAGGTCACTTCGACTTCGATTTGGTAAACACCAAAAGTCACATTGTATATTATTAAAATTTACTAAAATATTATACTTATTTTAGTAAATTTTAATAGTATACGATATGACTTTTAGTGTTTACCAAATCGAAGTCAAAGTGACCTGATGATGATGATTAACATCGAAATAGCTATCGTCTAAAATTGGATAACAAGTGATCGGGAGAAAGGTAATATCATCAAACAAAATGCAGCCCGATAAAAATAATTTCAACTTTAAATTAATCTTTATTTTGTTGTTTAAGTAATTTTTTAATTTTGAATAATTTATTTTGCATCTTGTTTAGGAATAAATTTTCAGACTTTGTGTTGTGTGTTTAGTTTCCTTTGTGCTATTTTGAAGAGAAATGTTGCTTGATATTTTAATTCATACCTTGCCTGGAAAACCATTGTAGCCACTACAGGATTATTGATTGTTAAGGAACAATATTGCCTATCTGCAAAGAGACATTCATTCCAGTAATCCGGCCGGCAACCATTGGCCTGTGTAAACTCTATAAAGTGGGAGGGAGATTTTTGTTTGAGACGTAATGAATGAATTTATCCTTTTACCTTCTCTAATCAACATTTTGATCAAAAAAAGTGCTTAGAATATATCTTTTTAGTACTTTTTTATTATTTTCATTAGTTAACTTACCTAACGTAATGCGTAAAAAAAAAAAAAAAAATGCGTAAAAAAATTGAAAATATAGCCCAAATACAGTAAGTAGGTAACAGTCTTGCACTGAAACTCATTTGTGACTCCAAAGCTAATTTTTGGTTTTCATTGCTTTAATTTCCTTCAGAATAATTTGGACTCATACCTTCTCATACATAATGAATAATCAAAATGTCCCTCCCTGCTTCTTTTCAGCTTTGACAAGCATTGTCCTACCGCATCTAGATAATCACCCGCAAGCAGTCTCTGCCTTCCTCCAATATTTGTTTTCTAGTTCGCCCCACGTGCGGCCAGTGTCTCCAACAATGTTCGCCAAGCTGTTACATAGTTTTGTTCATCCACCCTTTAGCAAATCAAGCTCTGTGTCTCTCTATCAAAGTCATTTTCCTTCTTTCATTGTAAGTTTTCTCCCCAATAGGTAAATATTTGACTTTCTTTTAGTATATTATTCTGAAATCGGAATCTCGTGAAAAAAGAAAATTGTTCAGACCAAACTGATTAAGATATTAAATATGTGGCTTTGATTTTTTATTTTATTACCGTTCTAGTTTGCATGTACTGCAAACTGCCGTACTGTTTTTTCAAAAGTTTAACAGAAAATCTACCTTATTCATTTTAGCAGTGAAAGTGTGTACAAAACTTTACTATCTGATTTTATTTATTTCTTGTAGAATCTACTATCCTGCTAGGGTTAAAGACAGATTTTCACGGAAATTTGTGAATATTTCTCTTCGAGATTCGCAGAGAATTTTTTTCTCACTTTTATTTAAAGGATGTAGAAATTTTAAGGTACATGTCTTCAACTTTTCTTAAAAATAAATATTTCACTGGGGCAATTTTATCAACATGGGGCAAGTTTTCTGTCGGAACTCACATGTTGCCTGCCACGGTGTTTGAGGTACATATTTCCCCTTGCACCGTTGCGGTTTTCTCCCTCCTCTCCTTACAAGAAAAGAAAAGTTCCGTGACGCTTTTTTCCTCATTGAAGCCATGCCGGCTATGAGTACTAAGCATATATACGGCTTTGACAACTGCTTGCTTCCTGGGAGCAATCAATGCGAGTCCCCATCCTAGTCAAAATGACTGGCATAGCGCTCTTGGAATTCTTCAATGTTGATGCATGATCGACAGACAACACATTAAAGGGCCCTCACTTTTGTCCCATGGATGAGCAATGGGAAATTGAAGGTGCCTTGCTTACTCGTTTTTCATTTTTGGTCATCTCTTGTTTGTTCACAGAAATCTTCCATTAACACTATACCTCGTGATACTCTGCATGAATATTTTGAGATTTCTCTAAAGTACCTGACTCCAACTTTATCTATTCGAATTAAACCCGAGGTAAGTTGCTCTAGTTTAGGTGCCAACCTCTCTCGGAAAATTAATTTTTTATAGACCTGGAACAAGTGAATGGATTGAATTGTAATGAGCCTAACTGCATCTCACATCATCTACTTTTCTCTCGTGTTTTATTTTCTTAATAGAGAACTGAGAGAATTGACGCCTTTTAACTTTTCGTGAATTTACCCCAGAACATGAAGAATATACTCAAAATTTCAAGTTTAAGTGTCGCGTAGTTCTCTAGGTATTTAAAAATCAAACATCAGAGAAGACTAGACATCACCTGATGTGATCACGCTGATTTCCAAACATTTATTAGATTAAGATCCTCATTGCTTATCTGGTTCAATTATCCTTGTGATTTTTTAATTGTCACCTGTAGCTTTTATTTTTTTACATTTTGACAAAACAATATTCTCATTTCCCTCAAATTCAATGCTAATTAGATTCTTGAGCCTGAGATATTAGATCTTGTAATTACGCTTGTGAGGCTTGTCCTCAAATTTTATTCTGGCCACCTTTAAGGAGATACTCTTAGGAGCTAAGACCACCAGGCCAAATTTTTGACTGCCATTTATTTTCTCTGGAAAAGGACATTTTCATAGCAAAACTAAAGGCTGGCAATAATGTGAATACCTTGAGTTTTTTTTATTCATAAGCAGCATTTTTCTCGAGTAAGCCCGTAGATTTGCCCGTTACTAATCGATAAAAATAAGTGAACTTGCTGTTTTACGCAGAGAAGAAAGTGGAAAGCACTGTTAATAGCACTTCGTGATGTGGGAACTGAGAACATTCTGCACCCCTAGGAAGTGAAAATGTATCGATTTAATGCAGCATTGTTGAACAAATACATATGTATTGACTTTTTATGAAAAGATTTCAGTGCCATCAGTTTTCTTTTTTTTCTCGTTTTATGTGGTGAATTACCATCTTTTTTTTTCTTTCACAGCTGTGCTCTTTTACTTACAAGTGCCTTATTAGTGACCCAAAAACAAGTGGGGTATGGAAAAATATATTTACTAAGAATTTATCTCAGTCTTCAGTTCTTTTGTCTTTTATTAGTAAGTATCTTTTAAATCCATATATTTAGTCTAAAAGTCTTCGTTCAAACTGTTTTCTGGCCTTAATAAAAAAGAAGAAATATCAAAAGGAAAATTAATAACAATTAACCAAACATTTTCGCTGGGAAACAAAAAATACATGAACCAGATACTTTTTACTCAAAATAATTTTAACAGTTGACTTCATTTTGACTTTCATGCCTAAATAACTCTAGACACAATTATTTTGTACGTCACGTGCTGCAAAAAAGTCTGTGCATGTATAATTTTTTTTCTCTTTTGATACATCCTTCTTACATTATAAATTTTGCTTTTTAATATTATAATCATGTTGCCAGGCAACAGTCTTCATTGATCATGGAATATTTAAAGAGATCATGAATTGAGGTTTTAAGTTATTTTAAACCATTACGCATTTATTAATTAGTCCATTCTAGTGTACAAATAATTAAGAAACCTATTATTACTTATTTTCAAATTTTTTCCTCCCTTAAAATTTCTGTTGTGATTCCAGTTTGTGTATTGAGAAAGCTACTGAATGAAATCTGGTCAGTAAATACCTCTGATTTGATAGCCTCTTCAATCCAATTGTAAAAAAAAAATTGTCAGTTGCCTATTATTTTTCTCTCTGAATTTTGCAAAGAAAATCAATTGTAGGTTGAAATTCAATTTTGAACAAAAATATAAATTACCTTTGGCTGTGTGCACTAAATTTTCATAATCCAAGTCTCTGGAATTCAGTATTGAAACTTCGCTGGGACTTCAAAGATGATTATAATGATTCTTACTTCTGAAGAAGTTTAATTTTGAATTTTAAAAGCAAAGTTGAATGGACTATTATTACAACCAAGCGATCTGAGTTTTCGGAGCTGACGAAAATAGGCTGTTGCCATATGTACATCTATTTTACGCGCCGCCACGCCAGGCAATCTAACAAACTGTCACACAGGAAACAAAGCATTGAGTGCGAGCTCTTAAAACTCTGATAAGGCGGGCTGTTAACGATATCATCGTCACTGTCGGTACTGCCACCAGTATCGGTTTAAGACAATACTGATCCGGCAAGAATTCGTTAGAACACCCCTACATAAAAGTTCCATTTGAAAACTGCTGAGCTAATATGACCAAAATGCTTTGCTTCTAGGTGAGAAGAATAGTACTAAAATAGGAAACGGAGCAGTCAAAGATTCTCAGCACGGCAAAGGTGATAGTAATGTTGGTAAGTCTTTTTTAATCTCATGGTCCAGAATGGTAGAGCGTTTGCTCCTGTTTTACTATTGTACTTCTGCTGTAGAAGAAGCTCTCTGTGCTTCTTGTATTTTTTCAGCAATTTGTGAAAAAAATGGATTATCATGAATGAGTTTTTGAGTTTCTCAACCGAATCATGGTAAATAATGCAACAGTGATAAGTCAAATTCCTTTAAGGAACATTCAGCAAAAAGCACACAAATATTTTTCTGTCAAATTCTCAGGTTTAATGGATTAAATGATAAGTAAGTTGTTAGCAGTGAATTCATTGAGGAACATCCACAATTTTTTGAGGACATTTTTATTTAATCAAAATTAGCCAAGTTTGATCGTTCCAACAGTATACTTTTTTAGCGCAGGTATGGCTACAGAGCATTACAGTGGTGTAAGTCCGCAATCGCACAACTCGATTTGCAACGTTGCAGACTTCCGGTCATACTTTATTTTTAAATGGAAAACTACTCAATTGCAATTCTCTAAAACTGCCGTGATTTTTCTTCTCTGTGCAAGAAAGTTCTGCATGAACTTCAAGAAATGAAGTCAATTTGTTCTGTTTTAAAAAATAACAGAGGCGGAGATTTTCAGACACCGCAAACGAGATATGTGATTGCGGACTTACGCCATCGTTCTGTAACTCACCTCTATTCAAGTGCTCAGAAAAAATATCTCTTGCACATATCAGTCAGGGCTAGGAGTTTTTCTCAATTACTCTTATCAGAATGATTGTAGAAGAGTATGCAGGGTTTCTAAAGACCAAGAAAGTTAGGGAGATGAAATTCGTCAGAGACAGGTCAGGGAGATTCAAGGAAAGAAAATGTGTAAGTAGAAGAGTTGTGAACTTCTGTGCAACATTTACATTTTTTGCATAACCTCATGGCGCCTCGATATTGAGCATCGCAACACTCTCCCGGTTTGTAGTGAATCTTGCCCTCGAAAATTCTAGGCATATCCTGGTCTATCTCAGTGCTTTGTGCTGTTTATTTTGTAATTTCTTTTGATTTGAAAGAAAAGTTCATAGAGAGAATCAGGAAAATGGAAAATTTATGGGTCAAAGAAAACCTTGAAAGTTAGAGAGGAGAGGAAAATTTTAACAGACCTCCTGGTCTGCTATTCTGCTATTTAATTAACAAAATTCATAGTAATATCAACCACTTACCAGAATGAATGATTTTTCCGCCAGACAAAAAATCTACTCCAGGAGTAGACTTGCAGTCCTTGTTCGGAAGCCTCCTCAAAACAGCAAATGACCTGTCCGAAAAGAAGAAAAGCCAAGAGGGTCTTCAAGAGTGTAAAAAATGTGGAAAATTACTGGAGGTACGTCTTTTCTTTTTATCTAAAATGAAATTTTTCATAATGTCGCACTTTAAGGTATGATGAGAGAATTGTTGAGAATGTATTTGCTTATCTTTTACAAGGATATTATGTGTAGTAAGGTTTCCTATTTTATATCTTTCAAGTAGAGCGCGTAATTTTTACCCAAATTTTTAACCAAAATTTTTACAAAAATACGTGTCAGATATACTCTTCACTTTGGAACAAGCTCAAGTTTTCAAAAATCAATTCAGAAGAGGGGATGTCACGCAAAGAGACTCAATTTCATCAACACAATCTCCTGTTGCTGTGTGCAAACCTACTTTTGCTGTGCGCCGATGATTTAAATAGAGAACCTTTCTTTACAGATGTCCTCCATTTAAATGACTTGTAAGAGTGCTGGTCAGAGTATCAGCTTGTAGCTTGTCTCAAAATTATTGTGAACTGTACAATTTCTTCCGTCACACCTGAATTTTTAATTTATTTATAATTTAAAGCGAAATAAAATGAAAAAGCATGAAACTCACTATCAGCAAAGTTGCCTTGTATTGCATAAGTTTTAGAAGATGTGGAATGAAAATCATTATTCCTCTAGTTAAGCTTGCGGGGCTCTAATTTTTTATTAATTTCATTTGGAAAAATCTAATCAGCATCAGCCTAAATGTGCATCTTATCCTGTTTATCTGTTAACTGTTTATCTTTCCAATAAACACCGACATTGAAGCAGTTCGACTTTGAAAAGTAGCAACGCCATTCTCTGAGGACTGGTTCCAAGACCACCATCAGATTCAGAAACCAGAAGTTGCCTTTGTAGTGATTTTTATCAAGTCTGGAAAAAAAAGTTGAAGAGAAAGGGTTATCTGTATAGTTTTTATTCAAGGAGATTGGTTTGTGCTTTCTTTTCTTCAATGTGAGTGGCCTCTCTCATTAAAGGATGACACTGAAAACTGAATGTTCAAGCTCTGTGGATAGTAATTATTTAAGTTTTTGCACCATTGTAGCGTCCTTCCCATGAGAGAGTGTCAAAAGAGCTGTGCTGATCAGAGATGCCTAAGCAGTAAGGACCTCAGTACTTGATGTAGTTACCGCTCATATTTTTTTTTGCATTGAGAAAAAGGTTGTTGACAGAGTTGTCAAAGTTTGACATTCAGTGTATGCTTATTCTAGCGCTAAGACTTTTTGTGAGGTACCATTGCATTCAAAATTTGACAGCTCCATTGACAACCTCTTTTCCGTTTAGCAAACCGGACCTACCTTCAAGAATACACACCAGGAAGTGCGTTCCATCTACTCAAAACTGTCTTGGCACTCAAACGTCTCTCCCTAATTTGCCAAAGGGCTTTGGCGTAAAATCACTCCAAACATTGTCTCTTTGCGACTAAATGACTTAGAGGCAAATCAAATTTTGAACAATTAACTTTTAATTTCATGGAAGGCAAAATCAAGTTTTTGGTCGAGTGCACATTTATTACGGATTTTTGCGACTAGATATCCTACCACTTCAGGAGAGATTGATTCTATTTCTATAGAAGGTGCAGCTAATAAGGACGTATGGTGCTTCTTATAGAAGTAGAGGAGTAGTAGAGGAGAGAGAAAAGTAGAGGAAAAGTAGAGGAGAGTACTAAAAGTCCTCTTCCATGGATATATGAAAGGAAGAAGGGCAAAATCATTGAGCTAAAGAAAGAGGATAAGTGGTAAAATAAAAGTAAACAGATGTGGTAGCGTACCCTCGTTCACCCTTTTGTCACTTAGTAGTGGGCTGACTTCAAATTATTTTCACGATGGCCATTTGGGACTAATCCTCCGTCATCAGGTGTTGTTTTTGCTCCAGACTGATCGAAGTAATGTCCTGGGTTGGTCACATGGTGACAAGTCACAAACTGAAACCGAAATAAAAACACAAAAAAAAACTAGGAAAACTAATTAACTAAAACCGAAAAACTAGCAGAAGCAAACGAAAATAAAAAACTGAGGAGGGAAAAAACCTGAGAAAAAAAAAACTACTAAGTGGTGAGCGGTGATCGAGGGTAAGCTACCCTATCTGTTTACCATTGTACCTTGATAAAAATGACAACTATCACGTTATTAAAATAAAATTATTAAGAGCAGAGGAAAGTAACAGGCTCAAAGGATTCAGATGTTAAAAACAATCAGTTAAAAATAAATCAAACTAGATTGCGTTAATGCAGGTCAAACTTGAACATCTGCATGCCATCTTTGTTATTACTCAAACCCAGAATCCCACTGCTGAGTAATAATGCTATTCAACCTTCAGTTAGTAAAGAGGAAAAATAGGTTTGCCACAGTCTGGAAATGTCAGGGAATTTTAAAACGTCAGGGTAAAATTGTTCAAAGCCCATTCACACCATCCAACTTTTCATCCAACTCTTGGATGCAACTTGTCGAATGGAAAATTCAATAGTCTGAAACTGACGAGAGAAAATGACAATTTCATGAAAAATTGAACGAAAACTTGAATGTGATGTCACCTTCAACTTTTTGTTCAACTTTCCATTCAATTGGCGCCCACCAATTGGATGGAAAGTTGAACAAAAAGTTGGAATAAAGTCTTCTGACCGACATGAGCGGAAGCTGTATCTTTGCGAACCGCAGGCTGATGACGATATCACACTGCAATGGTAATTGAATAAAATTTTTTACCGTCCAACTTTCCATCCAACTTTTCGTTCAATCATGTCTGATGAAAAGTCGAATAGTGTGAATTGCGCTTAATTATCTTTATTAGCCTTCTGGAATGGATTTGACGGCACTAGAACAACAAATTTTGCCCGGAAACTATTTCAAATTATGCATTTTTTGCGGAATGGCTTATATTCAAATGTCAGGAAATTAAATTTTCTAAATTTTGTGGCATCCCTGGAAAAGGAAAAAGATACATTTTGTAATGCTTTACTAGGTCACAGCGAGTGTGATTTAGTGATTGCAACGTCAAAAAAAAAAAAAAAAAATAATAACAACGACATTCGGCAATCCAGCAGCAGCACCCTATAATTAAACGCATCGTTGCCACATAGTGCCAAAAATCAGTAGGTACCTTTCTCCGCTTGAATCCCGTGAAATATCCCTGTTTTAATTGCACAACATGGCAGCCTTGATTGATTAGCATGATGATCTCTTCAAATCCAAAATCCAATGGTGGTCAGAGAGAAAAAGAGAGAATATTGATTTAAGTAGAAGAGGATTCGGGCGTCTTCCTTGAGAAATTGTATGCATAAAGACAGGTTTTGTAACGCCTAGTAAAGAACTTGACATTAATAGAACTTTTTTTTTTGGAATTTCCATTTTTTTATCTTTTTTGAAAAGAACATCTGTAATTGAGCTCATGTAGGCGTAGATACTTGTAAGTCTGAATAATCTAGTTTTTCCGTTCACGACCGTTTGAAAAATCGGTCGTTTCTTGTTCTTTTGCCTTAAAAACTTCGAAAATTCTAATATGGGTCATGTCCTATGTACCTACTCGGACTTACATTTGCATTTCTATGTATTGGTAGCAAAGCTAAAACAGAACGAGAGTACCCGGAACATTTCTATTTTGAAGTAGACCCTCGTAGACTTTTAATTTTTTTTTTTTTTTTTAAATCGAATTTACATAAAAAAATTTACGAAAGTCCTCAACAGATCTTATTTCAAGTATTCCAAAGCTTGAAAAGTATATCAAAGGCTTGAAAAGCCTTTTAAAGCCGATGATTTTGGGTTTGGAAAGAAAGTCAAGAGAAAACTTAGTTTCAAAATTTTGCAAAAGGACCCCCCCCCCAAAAAAAAAGGAAAAGCACAAATCCTTTTAGTCTTTTGGCCCTCTCAGTTAGCCCTTTTCTCCCCTCCTCCTCTCTCTCTCTCTCTCTCTCTCTTTGTCGGCCGTTCTTTTGTGGCGTGGCGGCAAATCTCGGCGCCAAGCGACATGACAAAAATAATTCCACTCCCTATCCGTACCTGAACTAATAGGGTATCTGCAACTTTTTCATGACTCCCTCAGCACCCTCTCGCATTTTATCGATTTTTCTCTGATTTTTTCATTTGGTCGCCAACCATAAAATCAAGCCCATCGGCGCGTCATATTTTCGCGCCATTATTTCAAATAGCCGAGTTGTGAAAAATGTCGACGTCACCGCCAACGATAGGAAGTTGTCCATAACCTCACAACCCGATTTCTCCTCGCGATTGGCTGATGATTGGCGCATCCAGGCGCATCTGCTTTCCAACTGTCGCGTCCTGGCATTTTGAGCGCTTTTTCGCGTTGTTTTTTGTGCTTTTGCTTCGTGTCTCGTTCGGATTGGAAAATCGCGTGATCGATTTTTGCAATCTAAGATTCCAAGTTGTGGATTGAAGCTATCATCTCAGTTTGTTTACTTCGCGAGTTCGTAAGTCTCTCGGTTTAAGTGTAGTTTATCATCTTGCATTTGCTGGGTTTCACCAGGAACACAACAGTCCAAGACTTTGCTTTCAGTTTCACGTATAACCCGGCCCCCTTCGCATTTTGACAGGTATTTTATTGCATAACTCCCTTGTTCTTTCATTCTCCTCTTTAAGTTTGTATTCTGAACTCAACTCTGGGTTGAGTTTATTTGCCCCCTCTAGTCTGCTGGAACCCAAGCCATTTGCATTTAGAAAGTTGCATTTATTGCAGCAATGTAAGTATCGCTCTTCCCAGCGAACTAAATGACTATCCATTCAGGATTCTGTAGAATCTGATCAACTCATGATTCTTGCCACAATTCAGAGTTGTTATCCATTTTTGCACTGTCAACTAAGTAGCTGTATCAAGGGTCAACTGGGGTTTGATTGCTGGCGGCATACGTGTATTTCTCTTATCAGCAAAGTTCAAAAGTCAGCCCACGAAGAATTTCACTTCTTGATCATCCCCTTATCCTTTGTTCTCCGCCCTTACACGCACTCACAAATACAGCTGCTCTATCCTCCGAGGTTAGTTTCTCACACATTATTATTCAATCGAGATGCGATAAATCTTTCAATAAATCATCCCTTAGAAGGCAGGTATTGGCTCCTATCAGACTCTTCGGGCTTTGCTGCGATTATTGTTTGGTCCAAACTCTGCCTCTTGTTGCTGTTTGTTTGGGTCTTTCCACCGGTAAATGGGTTTTCTACTGTTTAGTTTTCAAAATATTGGTTCCTATTTCCTTAATTTGCTGCTGGATCTTTACAGTATTGGCTGTTTTTTGTTTTGTGTCGTAAAAAATTGTATGTATGAATATTTGTTGGTCATACAGAGCTCTAGCTGGTGAGAGGAGTGACATGGAATTATGAAGAAAGTAGTGTTGCCTATATCTAGTGATTCTTATTTACTAGATTTATCGGCTAAAATGCATGCATTGACCTGTTGAGTGGTGCTGATATGAGGCTATTCCAGTTTAAATTTTCCTCATTTAATGACTCCTTGCTAATACCCTGTTTTCTCTGATAATTTAAACTTAGTTGAGACTTTTTCAAAAGTCTCAGCGCACTACATAATTTGCTTCTGACATGGTTTGCTTAGGTGAACAATTGAGGTATAACAGAATAAAGCAAGTGATCTTTCAGAGATTTTGTAATTCTCACCCCAGAATTGGATACAGAGGATTCCCCAGGTTTGGAAGAATGTGAACAAACGAGTCAACCTGCTTTTACAATGCTCTCTTGTGGTCTTCGGCCACTGTTTTCTATGAGTTATTGAGAGATGAAGCATTGGGAGAGAAAATTAGAGTAGTTTACCTAGCATTGCATAACATGAAAGAGTAACGATTACCAGAAGGATATTAGCGGAGCAATATTTTCTTATCGTGGTTATCCTATAGATTCTTTTCTAATGAAAAAGTACCTAACAATGTTTAATGAGAACGTTGTTTTATCTTGGTGTCAGGCTCTGACTGTTGTCGAGCTGTTGGGTGATACATAACAATAATTAAGTAAATAGGTTAATAATCTTGGCCGACTAACTTTTAGCAAGAAGGAACTATAATAGCCTTGGCGCATGTGTGTGAAGAATTATTTGTGACAAAAAGTGCATAATGCACAGAGATAGAAACAAATTTGGATATGGAAAAATAGCACATTTGGTATGCCTCCGATCTCTGTATCAAATAATGTTTTTTTCGTAACCAAATTGTGTTTTTATTTCTGTGAATTTTGAAATTTATTTTATTCTATATAATTCTTTAAATCCATGCATAAGGACTGCTGTGGGTTTTTGGGCACTAAAATCTGCTAAGAATTTTGGTGTAACCAATACCGATTATTGCATGCCAGTTCTACTACTCGGGATGAGACTTCCTTGAATGTATCAAAGTCTTGAGTTGAATCCTAGGTAATTCTCTCCAATCTAAAATCAAATTTCTCTGAAATGAATGAGTCACCTAAGTTAGCTTGACGAGAGTTGTAGGGAATTGTCACTCTGTGTCAATGTTTGACTAGCTGAGTGTGACCTTGTTGCAAAATTATTACCTCACAGGAAGGATAGATACACTCGTTTGATTTGCTTTCACGAACTGTTAAACAGCTGTTTTCATCTAAGGCTAGTATTTTTATCTATATTTTGGTCTTTATGGCTCTCATCATCATCCCCCCATGGGCGTAGCTAGGGGGGGCCTGGCCCCCCATAAA